ATATAATCACTATGTACAAAATAGTAACAGGAATCGGTAAAATTGATAGGGGAGAATTCCCGAGACCTGGAACTCCAAGAACAAGAGGTCATGATTTAAACTAAGTAAACAAAGCTGCCAAAGAAATATAAGAAAATTTACTTTCGCAAACAAAATGGTAGACGGTCGGAACAAGTTAGGTGAGAAAGTGGTGGAGGCCAAAACTGTCAGTAGTTTCAAAGCGTTATATGACAGAGTGTTGGGAAGACACACCATGAGCATAGCTCTCATCCTGTAACTACACTTAAGTAATTATAAAAAATTATTTTTATTATTACATAATTATTTAGAGGTGCAGAAAAGCATCAACAAACTAGAGAAAGATCAATGGATCAAAGAAGACATTTCCTCAGTGAGAGGACTAAAGGAAATACTGTAAGTATAAAATACTTGTGGAGGAATTCTGAAGTGAAACTCCATTCACTTATTGAAATTTATATATGGTACAGTATAACAAAACTGAGGGGTTAAAGTTATAACACTTCTGGATTAATGGTTTAAAGTCAGCATTTGGGATCTGTAGCTCATTTCCTGCAAGCACAACTAGGTACATATGTACATTTAGGCGAGTACATATACCGATATTTTGAATTTACATTATTTTTTTACAGTAATCAAATTTTTAGTTGAACATTGGAAAACATTCTTTATTCCTCAATGTCACTGCAATTCTTTTATTTCCTGTTAGATTGTCTGTCAAAATCTATGTTCTTGTTTCTAGTTAAGATTATTTTAGCCACTAATCATATTATCCACCATGTGTCTGGCTTTTGTCAGTGTTTACTAATTATGTATCTATGGCTTTTTGCTTTCCTAGACCGGAGAAAACTTCGATCGGGTAAGCTGCATGTAACAGTTTGACGACATTGTGTGTTGTGTGAGGTAGAACATGTACATTGCTGCTAGTAATTATTGAAAAATTAAGCATTCACTGTAATGAAATATAATGTAGTGTTCTTTTCTGGTGGGCCACTCAGTGGCTCCCTGAGCTATAGCACTGAGGTTGTCTAGCCTATGGAAACCCCACCAAGCCTCCGAGACACCCGAACCTACTGGGAGCCAGGGCCAGGATTCATTAAGTACTGTATTTATGTCTCCACTTAAGAGACCTGTTCCTCAATCATAGTTGCTTTGTTTACATTTATTAAACAGTCAATGAGCTTCAAAGCACTATGAGACTGTTTATAACAGTAATAATCTTGGGTTGTGAAGCTCCAAAGCTCGTTAACTGTTTAACAAACCCAGAAAAAGCCACTATTTATTTATTTATTTATTTATATATATACAAGAAGGTACATTGGGATTATTAGGATACATAGCATAGTAATAACATTCTTGTAAAGCCACTAGTACGCACAGCGTTTCGGGCAGGTCCACTAGGAATGAGGAAAGATGTACAGGTTTTATTAGTAGACCTGTGCTTGATGAATAGGGACCTGGGACTAGACTCTGGCTACCTATAAGGCAAGGGGAGCATGCATATCAGGTAAATCCACAACTACTATCGCTCGGGTAGCCACTGAAGATGCCATCCCAGAAAGATTAGCATATCATTCTGGCTCACTAATATGCTGCATAGTATATAGTATCTTTAACGTGCTACACATGACAATGTTTAATTTTTAGATGTAAAATTATGTTTTAATTACTGTATAGCCAAACATTTAAATATGTAGTTTATTGTTCAGGAAGAAAATGGGCATGAAATAACCCATTTATAAAGACTGTTGGCAGATGGCTGACTCACTTGGCAGATGGCCTCACTTTGAAACAGTTTCAGGTTCAGACACTGAACATTATCCTTCAGGTTCAAGTGAACCTGCCACTTCAGCAGCTCACCAGTACATTTTTTCCTTCTTTTACCACCATACTGCCTCCTTGAATGAATTGAAAAACACAGTTTTTACTGAGTTTTTATCTATTTACAATGACATATTGTTTCCACAAAAGTGGGTTATCCATATGTTCCTGGCCCAGCCCTTTGGATATGATATAGGCACATTTACTGTACTGTATTTCTTTGGAATCCTCTTGTAATCCTCTTTTAATGAAAGAGGATTAATCCTCCTTTTCCTCCTCTTGTAGAGGAGGAAAAGTCCTCTCGAGTCCACCCCCCCCCTTCCCTTCCCCCCGTGGAGGGGTGGGCTGCGCAGACAAGCGGCGCGGCGGCGAGGTGTGTTGTTTACTTGTTTCCTTGGGATTTGAGGGAGTTCTGCCTCTCTGTTCGTTTTTTTATTGCAATTTTCTTCTCATGTGGGTCTGTTTTGTTATGCCTACCTTTCTGGGTGCCTAACCCCAGTCGATGGCAGATAAGGAAACCCCCAAACAGAGGGGTTGGGGGGTTATCCAGGGACCACTGCTCTTTGTGCCTCTCTGAGGGGGAGAGGTTCTGGCATGTGGTACCCCGGTTGGCTGAGCTCCATTGACTAATGCCCTAGTCTAATGTATTGCATATTAGCCCGATAGCTCCAGGGAGCCTCCAGGGCTCATCCAGAAAATGGCATTTCATTACATTCAGCACTGGTTTTTTCACTTTTCAACCACATATACAGCACACAAGTGCAGAGTGCTTGGGACATTTAATTGATACAAGAATATAATATAAAAAGTTTGCAAAATTCAAGAATGAGATAGACTTGCTGTCTGTGCTTAATTACACTCAATCTGTATACCATGAAAATTAACTAATGCACTTCAAAACATGGTATAAAATTACTTACACACATACCACTGAATCTGAATTCTTCAATATCATGCAAACTGAGGGATGCCTGTATTTACAATTGTTAAAAGGTTTGAGTACAGAATCAGTGCTTAATAGTACCGACTTAGATTCCTACACTTCACTTTGGTGTTTAAGCTTATTATCTTTTGCTTGGATAGCAGCATCAAATCTGTGTGTTTTATCATTCCTATAAGTAACACTTGGCAGCTGCCAAAACCTATAATAATTGGGGTAAGTGAAAACAAAAAAAACCTTGTTCGCTTAGCAAAGGTGATAACCAATACGCACTTGTGTACATATAATAAAACAGCAAACAATGTAGAAATGGAAGATAGCTGTTGTTTTGTTGGCACATCTGTATTATAAGTCCGTGTGTGCATAGCAAACATCAGTGGAAGAATGGATTCAAGTTTTTAAAAGAAATGGCTTCAAAAAACTAATTCCTAGAAAAATTTCTTCCATTGATGTCTACGACATATTAACTTACTGCCTGATACACGTGGCTAACCTGTCGGTGCAAATAGCTTTATATTTTAAATTTTATTTCTATTCATATATAACCTTATTGTAGAATGCAGTAGTTGCTTTCTAATATACAGTACACTCATATCTGTGATCATTCTGTTCAGTGATGTAGCCTGCAGTGTAAACTCTTTTTTTTTAATTTAGAATGATTGACATTTGTGTATGATGTTCTCTGTAGCCAAAATAGGCCTCATGATAAAGCAATAACCTCAATGTTAAAGGTTTTGAAATTATTGATATAGATATGGGCCCAAAATCCAAGCAAGTTGGTTGCCAAAATCTATGCAAGTTGATCTCCTTTATATAGAGATTAAAATGGACACAGATAGCTCTTTTATCAGGGTTTATATTAAATTTATATGAAATTTTCCACTAGAATTTGGCAGTGCCATATTTCTGTGTTACATTATTTCACTTCTTGTTTGAAAGACTCTTACAGTGTTTGCATTTTGAAAATATTTTATTTTCTGTATTTTTAATTGATTTGTTAGTTTATATGTACAGTATTTTATGTAATAATTACATTACTCATTTGGACATTTCTTTGTGACTAGTTTTGTAAACAGGTACAGAGAGAGAGAGTGTGTGTGTGTGTGTGTGATGAGAGGAAAAGATTAGGTAATTGGTTCCTGTGACATTCAGTAACTTCATAGCAGAGGTATTTTTGTAATTTGATGTTGCACAAGTCCACTACAGGCTCACCATAGTCCATGCTACTTGGAATGTTTGTTCGAGGTAGCTGAATCTAAAACAACAACATTCATCTTATAATTTGTAGAATGGCATTGCTTATTATTCTTGAGGGGTATGTAGATAGCACAGTTGGCTCACAATTGACTGGTCCCTGGGCTGATTCAGGGCAAGACGTTTGGACATGTTTCCTTACTCCTGATGTCGCTGATCATTTAGCAGTAAATAGGTATCTGGGAATTAGTCAACTATTGTGGGTTTTTATTATGGGGAAAGGTCAGTCATTAGGTAGGTGGTGCTTTGATAAACCTGTCTGGCTTCCTGACCCCATCTATTGGGAAACTTTGAATGGGTCTGAAATATTTTGGGGGATTTTTGGGTAAAGAATTCCAGGGGAGTGGAACTTTATTGATGGTGAATCTTTGCAACATGGTGGAGACTTACTATAGTTCTTTTAATGTTCCTGCATCTCATATGGCATAATTTGTTAAGAGTTTCAAAAGTTGCATTAGGGGTACATGTAGTCCAATTAGCCTTCATGTTTTTAAGCATAATAGTATAGAATAATGTATCAAGGTCTCAAATGTTGTGGTATCAAAATAATGCACATTTAAATTCAAGGTCTAATAATGTTAAAATATACGCAGAGTTGATAGGGTTGCAAATTTTAAGTTAAGATGGCTTAATTTCCCCACCTCTTTTCCCAGTGCTTTGACCCAGACTGTAAGTATATTTGACATCGGGGTGTTTTAGCAATAGAGGCTGGATATGGGTAAGATGATTGTGTAGTAGAGATGATGATTGTGTAGTAGAGATTAAGTATGAGTAAGGAGCTCGTGCAGTTAATCTTATTGATTGCTTATAAGATTATATTGCATGGTGGAGGCCTTAGGATGTAGCATATTCCTAGGATATTCTAGCTAGGGGTTACACTAGAGTATCAAACGGGATAACAATATGTAGAAGATAGAAGGCTGTGATTATGATAAGTATGCCAGAAACCTTTCATGTCTCTTTTCAGGCTCATAGCCATGAAGAGATAGAAATGAGAACTAATGTTGGTCTGGTCAAAGGGCATGCATATGGCATCACAGCATGTCGGAAGATAAATATTGGTGATACAGGACTCTTCTCCATATTCAAGTAAGTATCAACATCACAAAAATATATGCTCTCTCATAAATATTAGTCATGGTTTATTACTCCTTTTCTAAATATACTTGGATATCATGTACTGTATAGTGTATACTATACTTGAATAGTATACTGTATATATTTGGATATCATGAATTAAAGTATACTTGGATATCATCTTCATTTGATATTAAAGTTTGTTTTAGAGTTTTGGATAGATATCAACCTCTTGGGATAATTGAGTGTACTTTTGACTAAAAGGAAAAGGAGGTAATGGTTCAACTGTATAAATCTTCGATGCATTTGGATTATTGTATCCAAGCATTGAAAAGGACATAGGAGATATAGATTCAGAAGGACATAGCTGCTCTGGAGAAGGTGCAACACCAGGTAACTAAAGTCATTCCAGAGCTAAGTCATCTCCCATATCAGGAACACTTGAAGGCCACAGGACTAACAACACTGCAAAGCAGGAATGATAGGGTGGTTCTAATTGAAACTTAAAATACTGAACAAGTTGGAGGATGTTGATCCGGATATTTTCTTCAGAAGGTCAGATGTAATGCACAAGGAGCAATGGTTTCAAGCTCAACAAGCCACAATGTAAGGACTGAGAACAGGAGATGCTTTTTCATCCACAAGGTTATGAACCCATGGAACTGCATACCCGCCGATGCCATAACTGCCAAAACTGTTAAGTTTTAAAATATACCTAGAAAAACTACGAGCTCACCATAGCCCGTGCTACTTGGGACATTTTGTTCCAAGTAGCGAATCTTTAACAACAACAACAACAACCTAGAAAAGATCATCAAAACAAATGGAGGGACCTTCAACAACCTGCTGGCTTCCTGTCCTCATGGAGGCCACTAGAGTTAGTGGCCCTCAGGTAAATCAGGTAAATCATGAATCAAAGTATACTTTGATATCATGTCTTATTATATCTGAGTTTACCCAATGCTTCTAAAATATAATACAGGTACATCAAAATATGTAATGCAGATACATTCGGTACATATAATGCAGATCCATGGCATACTTCATTATGCCATACGTCTCTGTGATCTCCACAGTAAACTGCATAATGCCAGATTCTTTGTGGGGAACCTTCAGTGCCAACCTCCCACAAAATAGTGAACACGGAACCAGAGGAGACTGGCTTCCAAATAAAAAAACAGGCCAAAAGGGCAACACCCCAAATTGTACATGAAATCCAGAGACTTAGACTACTGCCTTCTAGAAAATGTAGGGAAAGAACCCTAACTTGATGAGAAAATAAGACATAAGGATAATGCAGAAAGGCAAATCACAGTCCCCAAGGACTACAAAAGACCACCAGAAATTAAAATGCTGGGGAGCCAAAAAGATGAATCTTGGATGGACACGTAGTTACGGCCCTGGAGCACAATCCGAGATCCAGACGATGAAACCATGGCAACTTGCTGCAGGACATAAACCAAGCCACAAATACAGGGCTCATAAATGAATGTTTGTCTATTTTGGTTTAGGTTCATTTCCTTCAAACAATACAATCAGTAGCTTTTTTTATTCACCTAATCTATCTGGTGAATTTTTCTTGGTTTTGAGCAGATCTCTGCTGCTGCTACCCTTCTGAGCCTGGTCCAGGCTCCCAATAGGCCAGTATTGTTCTAAGAGGCCTAGTGTAATTCTTAAGGCTTGACTAGACTAGTGCATAAGCTCCGAGGAGCTACTGAAGGATCACCTAAGAAGATCACCTTTCATTACAGTCAGTTCATGACATTATTTTTATTTTTTTGCAGGGGAGCTCAAAAGATGCGGATGGTAAGATTGAAGAACCCTTGGGGAGAAAAAGAATGGAATGGAGCCTTCAGTGATGGGTAAGTAGAGTTATCTGATGTATTCTTAATTTAGATTTTTAAAGGACAATTAAGTGGACAGCTATACATATATTTTTTATTAAATACAGTATGTTTTCTCTTTTATTTTAACTCTTTTATTATTAACTATTACTTTTATATATTAGAAAAGTATGGATTTTGAGAACTTGTGCCAATTTAATTGTAAGCAAAATGCATGTTGCTACTTGATGAAAAACAGAGCCATGCTTTAACATAGGTTCAAGGAATACTCTAATGGTTTAAAATAAACTGTTAGAATATCAAAGATTATTTACCTGAGGAAAATAGTCTGCACATTTTTGTAGTGTCTTCAGATAGTGATACATATAGACAAGGTTCTTGGTATCTTTAATGCATTATTGGTAAACTATTTTTTTATATGAAAGTTTTAGCTACTGTAGCAATTAACATTTTAAATCTAATTAGTTAATTACAGTACCTCTAATTAATAATGAGAATTAGAACACCTAATAACATTTAGAGAATAAGACAAAATAATGTGGCATTTCAGCCACAACAGGCAACCTAACACCCACAAATATTTGCAGTACAAATTTCAGAGCACATAATGTTTGCTACAAACTAGGACTGATGCAGCAAAGCTAGCATTATTGTACATCAGCCATATATCTTGAGGTTATCTTGAGATGATTTCGGGGCTTTTAGTGTCCCCGCGGCCTGGTCCTCGACCAGGCCTCCACCCCCCAGGAAGCAGCCCGTGACAGCTGACTAACACCCAGGTACCTATTTTACTGCTAGGTAACAGGTGCATAGGGTGAAAGAAACTCTGCCCATTGTTTCTCACCGGCGCCTGGGATCGAACCCGGGACCACAGGATCACAAGTCCAGCGTGCTGTCCGCTCGGCCGACCGGCTCCCAGAGATCCATAGGAGATGGGTCCAGTATACTTACGAGTAGAAGTGTGGAAGCTGGTTTTAGCTTTTAATAAAATAAAACATTAGAACCAGAGAATATTATGACAGTACAGGTATTTACCATGCATAATTGTTAGAATTATTGAACATCTGGAGAAAAGGCCATAAGGGAAATCATAACTAGAAACTGAACACATAGATATGCTGCACTGTACTTAAAAGCAGAAACCAGAATATTGGAAAATCCCCCCACCCCCTGCTAAAAAAAAATAGTAATAAGTTACATGTACAAATGAGAATCAAAGAGTTAAACAAGGAGGAATAGGAAGGAATATCTTTGAACAGGGAACAATTATGGGAAACAGTTCTAACTTGTGTAACAGCCATAATGAGAGAAACAGAATAAGCTACTCCATAACCACATCAGGAGGATGTTGGTAAAACATCAGATCATACTGAAAAAATTGAGAACTGCCCATGGAGGATAATGTAGAAATTTGTATGGAAATTTTTGAAGAGTTCAGTAGAACAGATTCCAAAGTGTCCTTGCTTGCAGAGGCAATTGTCAGAAATTTTTAAAAAGATAGCCACATACATTGCTGAAACAGTAATAATGGAAGAAATTGAGAAGCCCTTAGGGAGCTTTATGTGGGTAAAGAAATGGGTCATGTGTGTTAAAATAAGCTGAAGTGCAAAATAAACCACTAACAAAGTTCTGAAACATGTGATCAGACACACAAAATCTATCAAACAACTGGTCACAAGCCAATGCATTGCCAGTATTCAAAACAGGTGATATAGACTTGGAACTATAGAACTATCATCCTTGAAATTTATGCCTTGTAAGGTGATGAAGCAGATATTAAGGTAATAGAATGCAGTACTGTACATGTAAAGTATTGAATTCATAATTGAGAATCAGTATGAGTACAGAGAAGTCATGTTTTGTCTCGGTTACCTAATTAAAGTTTATTGTATAACAGGGTAATTAGGATCTAGTAGGAAAGGGAAAGGTAGGTGGACTATGTTTTTCCAGGCTGCTAAAAAGCCTTTGACAGTGCTCCACAGGCAGTTTAAAAATATAAAACAGATTGGAGTGTGTTTCACTGGATAATGAAATATTGTACTTAGTAACAAAAGGCAGTGTTCCCCAAGGATAATATTAAAGAAGAGAAGTAACAATTAACCATAAGGGGAGACCCTATGGGGTCAGTTTTTCGATCCATGATGTTCAGTATGTTTTTTTTAGGAACATACCGTGGAAGACCCCCTTCATGTCACTGTTTACAGATGGTGTGAGATTAATGAGAATAGGGACAGAAGATGACTGCAAGAAGTTGCAGAAGGACTGAAACTAATTGGAGGATTTATCTGGCAAGTGATGCTAGAATTCAATCCTAGCAAGTGTAAAAGTAATGTGGGTGGTATCAGGTGAAAAAAAGACTGAAGGAATTTTACCACCTGAGAGGATTGCATCTTGTAGTAGCCAGGAAAAAAATACCTTATGGTAGACATCCCATTTTACTAATTTCCTGAAGTCCAGCCAAACAAGAAGTTCACCCAAGTGCCATATGAAAGGTTGTAAATATAAGAACAGTTTTCAGTAGTTTGAATAAAGGATTATTCAGTACACTATACCACATACATTAAATACTGGAGCATGGGGTATCAGCATGGAACCGTCATATAGCTGAGCTCAAAAAGTAGCTGGAAAGAGTCCTAAGGTTTGCTACCATCTGGTCCCTGAACTAAAGGAAGTGGGCAATGAATATAAACTAATTTCTCATTGTTAGAGAGTGCTAGTCATTGGGAATATCGCCATGACATACAGATACACAGGGTATTGACCTGCTAGACAAGAGCAGGCTCTGTGAGCTGGGTTACAAGGATGGGCTTGAGGATACAAAGGGAAACTGAAAATTCCAATGAGCAGATTGGTACATAGTAATAAGTATGTATAGCTTCAGCTTAAGGGTCATGAGCATGTATAATGCACTTTAAGCATAGGTAATACAGAACTAACTTCATACTGTATATGAATTTAAGTTTAGATGTAACAAAACCCATAAGACTAGTAAATTGCTGGTTATAATGCAGACGAGGAGTCACAATAATGTGGCTGAAATATGTTGACCAAACCACATACTAGAAAGTGAAGGGACGACGATGTTTCGGTCCATTCTAGACCATTCTCAAGTTGATTGTGATAAGGGAAGGAGGCAAAGGCAATAAATTGCTCAAGCCCATGCTTTATTCCCTTCCCCTCCTTCCCTTATCACAATCAACTTGAGAATGGTCCAATACAGACCAAAACATCGTCTTTCCTTTTCTTTCTAGTGTGTGGTTTGGTCAACACACTGGTTATAATAGTAATTTGTTTTGTTGGCGACACGAAACCTGTGAATATACAGTATATAATTTAGACTTATATTGAGCTCCTCCCCCACCTTCCCAACAAGGTGGAACTACTGACCCTCCCGAGGATGTAACCCCACAAAAGTTGTCTAACTCCCGGGTACCTATTTGCTGTTAGGTGAACAGAGGCATTAACTGAAGGGAAATGTGCTCAACTATTTCTATCCCACTCAGGAATCGAACCTGGGATTCCTGATTGTGAGTTGAGAATGAATCCAACTGTACTGCCAAGCCTGTATTGCCTATTGTTGCATGGCAAATCCAGAATTTTATTTTTAATTCAAATCTGATTCTTATTGCTTCTGCTATCTCAAAGTATAGCAATTCCAACTGAAGATTCCTACATGAGGAAGAGAATTTCAGGAGGTTCTACTATTGAACAGAGGCCTTTTTATGCCTTTACAAATTTCCTCTTTATTTTCTCTCTTTCATGCTATTACTCAGGTTTTTCAGGATGGAAAGGTAAAGTTGGGGTTTTGTGTGCTTAATGCCTCTGTGCTTGTGTATTTAGACATTAAAAGTCCTGAAAATTGCAGGTTACTCACTTGCTGAACGGCCTTAAAGCACATCCTACTTAGCGTATACAAGTATAGATTTAGATTTTACTTATTTAAATATTTTAGTTGTACTTTTAGTTTCTACTTACAGTAAATTAAACCTTTACAAACTGTATCAATAAAACTGTTTGTCGATATAAATACATCGTTTTACAATTTCTGTAATTCGTGTATATGTAATTAATTACCTAAGTGGAGTTACTGGATGAAAGCTACACTCGTGTTATGTGCATGTGGGTGTGTTGTGAGTGTGGGTATGATGGGGATGATGGGGTAAGGATACTTTTCCTAGGAACCCCTGGAGGACCTCCAAGGAAAAGTATCTCCAGACTCTCCAGGCCCCATTGTCCTTAACGGCAAAGGCAGACATTTTTAACCCAAGCACAAAACTGTTTCTGCCCGAAATGCTATGTGTGCTAGCGGCTTTACAAGAATGTAAAAACATTTAATCCTATGTACTCTCATAAACCCAATGTACCTACTTGTTTATAAATAAATAAAACATGCAGCCCAGAAACTGGAGGATATGCAGCCCAGGGACTAGTGAATATGAAGCACAGGAGCTTGTGGACATGCAGCTTGGGAACTGGGGTGAGGGGTAAGGGGGCATGCCTCCAGTATTACTGCCTTTAGTGCATATCTGGACAAAATGCTGTTGTTCACAATATCACTCCACACGTCCTAACATAAATAATGTGCTCCATAAATGGGGCATATTACTAACAGTTACTGTTTTCTGTCACATACTGTAGCTCACAAGAGGATTACAGTTTAATTACAATTAATAATACAGAAAACTGAAATAATGGTACAGTACATCAATTTCTGAACTGTACATTATATGGGAACAGCATTAGCAGCTGTTTTCATTAACACCTGTGGACTCATGAGTTGAATCTGTACAGATCCCATTCAATGTGGGAAACAGGTTGGTCCAAAGAAAATGCTGAATCACAGCCACAGCAGGAGTGTAACAAGCATATAGAGCAAACACAGTCAAAAGGAAGCACCTATAACCTACCCATCAACAAACGGTGGCAGCCAGGGAGTTCCCATGCCTGGACTGCAAGGAAGGACTTGCAAGGAGGTCATAGCATATCGAGCCAGGAAAGGGAATCTCTTATTAAGAGAGTCCATTATGTACCATTATAATGGAGGATTCCACTGCATCCAATAGGCAGAATAATGGTGACAACAGAAAGAACCATGACATTTAAAATGCCGAGTTAAAACCTGATGCACCAAAGTCCAGCTGTGAATTGGCTAGGAAAACCAACCTGCCCCAGCTACAGAGAATGAGGTAAGAAGACCTTGAGGATGCGATGAGTGTCCAAACAATACTGACTACTTGGACCCTTCCGCAAATGGGTAGATGTAACAGGCATGAGGGGAAATGTAACAAGCAAGTTGCACGCCTAATCCCAATCTATCTTTGCTGGGGTATATAAAAGGCATATAAAACCAATTTCTAAGAAACAATGACCTAACCTGACCCAAGTGCACACTTGGCAAAGGTGCGTGCAAGGTCCTAAAAAACCACACAAATCAGGGTGGTAGGATATGTGATTACCACTTACATGATTACTAAAACATGCTGAACTACATATAGGGAAGATATTTTGATGCCATCAACATGTAAAAACAAGAGGCTACAGATTCACATTACTGTATTCATTTTTTTATATATTAAATTAATGAAATGAAACAGCTTCCTATGAAATGAACAGGAAGCATTATATTTCTTCATAAATAATTTTAAATGACTGAAATTGGCCCCAGTATGTGGCAGAACCACTGGAAACTTTAAAGACAGTTATGATAAAAAAGACAAGACTTCGTGATATTAGTTTGAAAAGCGTCATACTAGTATGAAAGAAGACTGCAATAAACCAGAGATATACGAAGGCATCAATATGTGTGGGCTGTGAGTGGAACACACTAGGAGAGGAAGTACAGTATAATGGAGACACTCTGTGCATAAATTAAAGTGTAAATATGACAAAACCCATTGGTTGATTAATGGTTAAAAGTGGGATGGGACCCCATGAGCCGAACATGAACCCTGCAAACTCGGTTAACTACCCAATTACATAAGTAGTGTACAGATATGCACACTGCTATATATGCATGTGCACATTAGGACCCATGCATGTGCACACTAGTACCTACTTGTGTGTACCCTAGTACTGTACCTAATTTCATCTTCATTGTATACCACCACCTTGTGCTATTAACTCTCACAGTATCTTGTGCTACCCACTCACCCAGTGTATCTCAATGTAGAAATGCAACTTCATCAGTACAATATAATGTTATTTTATCTCTTTTATACTGATGCAGTTATCATGTGAATTCAAATTCTGTTTACAGTATACCTATCATTATGCTCATTTGTTACCTTAAGGACCTGCTCGAAACGCTATGCGTGCTAGTGGCTTTGCAAGAATGTACTACTCAACCACCACCAAGACATGTAATTTAACAACCCATTGTATCTTCTTGTACAATATATGAATAAGTAAATGCATGTGCACATATTCACTGGTACCCATGTATATTTTAGAACATGTGTTCATAAACACTTGTACCCATGTACAAACACACTAGCCCCATTTACACACATAAATATATTAAACAATAGTAATTTTATAAGTAAATATATAGTACATAGAGACATGCACAGAAAATGGATATGAAATAAAGCCACAAATATGCCAAGTATTTTGGGCTTGGCATACATACATATTAGTACCCCATACAAACAAAGGTTTTACGCATTTCCCCCATGCACCCGAGCTATGTCAGTAGGCTGTTCTACCTCTTCCCCCTTCATTACACTTTGTGTCTCGGAGAGACTGCAGGAACTGTGGTAAATCAGGATGATTTCCCGGTTGCAATTCTTTTACCATGTCGTAGCTCAGTCGATTAAGGCGGCGTCTGGAATCCTCTCGGACATAGGTTCAAACCCTCGTCACGGCCCTTGTGGATTTGTTCATTTGATACATCACACAATTGTGATTTCTGTGTGTGTACTTGGTCAACTCATTTTGTGTACAGTATGTTTTACAAATACATTTTATATATTTTTTCCACTATGAGCGTTTCCACATAAACCTCCAAAAATACACTAGTATCCTTGAACAAGCATACTAGTACACTATATGTACACACACACACACACACTAGTACTCATGCACATACTGTATATACTAGTACCTGTTCATCGACATTCACAAATATACAAAAAGACTTATAACCTCAGACCCTGTATATATTGCGTCATTCAGATGTGATTTTATCCATGATCATATTACTGTACTTTTAAATGAGACATCTTTAGGGCCTGATGAAATCCATTTCCTCTGCTACAATATCCTTCACTGATGCAGAGAATAAGTCACAATAATAATGTGGCTGAAAATTAGTAACCCAACCAACACAAAAGAAAAGAGAATGATGATGTTTTGGGCCATCTTGGATGGATCAAAACATTGTTTCGGGCCATCTTGGATGGACAAAAACATTGTCACTCTTTTTCCATGTGTATTTGTTGGGTTACTATGTTGACCAAACCACAATCGACTTGATGATGGTCCGAACGGTCCGGACAGACCGAAACGTCGTCGTCTCCCTCCTCTGGTGTGTGGTTTGGTCATCATATTTTCAGCCACGTTATTGTGACTTGTCTTCATATGGGTTACTATCATTCATTGATGCTTTACCATCTTACTTACTCTATGCCAACTGTGTAGAGTTTGCTCAGTTGTCCAAGCAGAGCATGTGTTCATGAAGGAATTAATTGCTTTGCAGTAAAGAGAGGAGTGGATTTGTGTACACAACCTCGCAACTGACCCAAATGTACTCCAGGTGAATACATGCATTTGTGTGATTGTTTGATGAATGTTTGCACATTAAACATGTAGCCATTGCAAGAGAATGTTTGTTGGGTAGATAATTGATGGTCTTGGTGACAAAAAGAGTTTTTTTGATCATTGTTTATTAAACTCTTTTTAACTTTTAAAGTTAAATTGCAACTTTTAATGTGTTTTTGTAATGGACTGAATAATGCTGGTACAGTAATAACTATATCATAGTTACTTGGTTAGGTTAGAAACTAGCCTAACCAAGCAACTATTTCATATTATAGTGCTGGTACAGTAGTAACTATATCATATTATAGTGTAATTTCCCTTTAAGCAAGTACCTGTACTGTAGGTTTAATTTTCAGATGGAAAATTTGGCAAGATACTTGAGGTAGACTATTTAGGTACAGTGTATATATATCTGTATATACCTGTAATGCTCTTTAATCCAAGCTACCAGCCAGTTAACTGCTCTTTATATTTTAAGTTTTAATTTTGATTTATTAAAAACTAATTTGTCCCCGCCTGCCTTAATCTATTTATGAACACTCCTTGAGCAGTCCGTCCTTCTCGAGTTGTCACGGTGTCACAAAAACGAGCTACTAAATTGCCTGAACCTAACCTAACCGATGATCCACGCGGAGAAAATATGAACTTTTGTAAGCTGCTGTGATTTATAGTACATCATATTTTGTCTGTTGGGGGTTTTGACGTCAAAATGCAGCGTGTTATACGAGAGGACGGGTTGCTTTGAGCACGCTATATACTTTCCATCATAATGTAATTAACTCAGTTGAGTATAACCATTTTGTGCAATACCATTGAGTTTTCTAGCACAAGTGTGTATGCTATTAGTTAAGAAATGCAAGTTACCTTGTAGTAGGTGTGACCTTACCTTAGTGTGCTCTTTTCTCCTTTCCACAAGACTTTCTCAGTGCTCTATCTTGCAGCTCTGTAGTTTTGTAAAATTAGACTTTATCCTTTTAAAGGTATAGCAGCTCTATGTAAATGCATAATTTGTTTATGTTCTTAGTGGAATTATGACAGACCTTTTAATGGTAATAATATGATGCACATTATTCTTCGTCTTTATTTTATAGATGCTGCATATTGCCAAAAATGCTGTGTGTAATTAACGGTCTTATAAAAATCGAGTGTTGATGTAATGAAATATCTTTTTCTAGTTTGCTGCTCAGTAGCTTTCCCTAGCTATAGCATGAGCTGCCAAGCCTTAGGGAATAACAACACTTGCAGGATCCATCAGAGCTTATGTAAACTAGGACCAGAATCTAGCTCTTTGAGGGCAAGAGGAGCTCGGTGATCAGAGATCAACCCAAAATTAAGGAGAGCTTACCAGAAAGTATAAGTGCATCAGAATAAGCGAATTCTTGAAAAGAAATTAGTAACCTTGAGGAAACCAAGGGAAACAGTCCATGCTGCGGTATAAACACCAAAACCATAATGGCAGCCCAAGTCACCTGGGAACCCCACCAGCCAACCACCTCATTCAAAAGCCGCCTGAATAGAAACTTTCCCGATACACAGAGGGAAAAGGGAACAATGCAGTTGTGGGTTGCTACTGAGTTCACCACCAGAAAGGGCATTTCATTATATTCAAAGCTTGATTTCTGGGAGGTCTGCATCAGTAGCTCCAAGAGCTAACTTCCACAATGTGAGAGAAGATGGCAAGAGAGAGCCTGGGTCAGAAGAATATTAGCTCTGGGTAAAAAAACCCAGGTTCTGTGAGGCTGAGGAACATACGCCAAGTAGTGAAAAGCTAACTCCCATTTGGACCTCCAGAAGCCCTGAGCTCGGTTATAAGGTATGAACATATTAGTACAAAAAACTGACAAACTAGAAAATTTGTGTACATCATGAGAGTAGGGGTAAACCACTGACCACCCTTATGAATGATCTTGGTGAGAGGGTTGAAAATTAACACTGTACTGTGTCTATAAGGCAGAGTGTATCATGCACTTCTAACTGGACAAACCAATCATTTATGATCAAAGGAGGGCAGATGTCTCATTTTTTAATTTCTCAGCATCTAAATAATTGAGGCTAACATTCAATGTACAAGCAGTATTGATGCCAGTCCTCTTCAATAAGTGAGGCTTCATGTGTATTAATTACCTCCTACATCATTTCAACTAATTTATCTTAATATTACTGCATGTTTATTAGTTACATAAATATTTCTTGAATTTCGTAGTAAGGTTTGGTACCGGTACACGTAAGCAACAGTAATACCTCCATAGAGGGGATAGAGGGTTCGAGTATTAGTGAGACGCAGCAAGCATTTGAGAGATTATTACTTGGCATTAATTGTAGGTGAACTGAATATTTTGTATTTGTTTATTAATTTAAATTTTTACAAGAAAGTACAATGGATTTTGCAACAATCTGATGAGTAAGTATACATTTTCACAGCCACACTTGTGCAGGAGGGTGAGGTGAGGGGTTGGAATCGAATGGGAGAAAAATATATGAAAGCCACTTGCCTACCTCCAGTGAAATAGCAGATCTGATAATGGTCAGATATGAGCTTGAGCTGCTTGTCTAGCCTGCTTTTGTTTAACTAATCTGGCAACCTGCCTGTTTGCTGACCTACCTTGCATGCCAGTTTGCATGCATAATGGCCTACCTAATCCTGTCAATCTGCAAGCTTACATGGTGACTTACCTGCCTGCCAGCTTGTTGACTTGCATAAGTATCTGCCTGCTGATCTGCTTGCATTCCAATCTTTCTGTCTGTCAACCTAGAGTACTTGCATGCTGACCTGCCTGCCTGCTGGGCCACCTGCCTACCTGCTGATCTTACCATTCTGCCAACCTACTGACATTCATGCCAACCTGCCTGTGTACTGACCAGCATGAATGTCTACATGGTTTCAGGCCGACCTGCTTGTATGCCAACCTGCCTGTGTACTGATCAGCATGCATGCCTACATGGTTTTATGCCGACCTGCTTGTATGCCAACCTATTGACCTTCATCCCAGCTTTCCTCCATGCTGTCTTGCCTGCATGCCAGCCTTCCTCCATGCAGACTTGCCTGCATGCCAGCCTTCCTCCATGCTGTCTTGCCTGCATGCCAACCTGCCTGCATGCTCACCTTCTTACCATCCTGCCTACCTACTGATTTTCAGTGCTGACATCCTAGCATGTCAATCTGCTCATTTGTTTCTGGCTGGGGGAAGTATCTGGCTGGGGGGATGTATCTGGCTGGGGGGGGGGAAGTATCTGGTTGGGAGGGGGGGGGTGATTATCTGGCTGGGGGGAGATATCTGGCTGAGGGGAGATATCTGGCTGAGGGGGAGATATCTGGCTGGGAAAGTATCTGGCTTGATGGGAATGCTGACCTCGAGCAGTTAGCATTATACTTGCCTGGTTGTTCTTGCAAGGGGATGTGTGTACTTAATTATTTTACGTTTGGCAGAGTATAATTGTTTAATACTTTTAGAATTTGGTACTGAAATGATTGCTTTAGTGTTACATTGTACAATTGATAGAAATAAACAAGTAAGGTAGGTTTTCTGGTTGGCTGCCCTACCATACCTGAAATAGTGACAAAAATTCGCTGAAAGGCGACAATTTCAGGAGATTATATCTTCAATTACCTAATCACTGAAAGAAAAAAGAATGCTAACATAGAATTTTATAAATAAATAACATTAAATTACAAATATTGTGAAAATAAATGAATATTGATAAAGTTTACCTGAATATATGGAAAGGGCAAAGGAAACTGCATAAAAAGTTGTCTGGAAACACTGCCCAAAGCACTGTGTGTGTGTGGCATAGCAAGAATGTAAGACCACCAGTGTTATGTACAGTACTCTAACAAACTTGGTGTACCTTCTTGTATACAGAATAAATAAATCAAATAAAAACAAAATTAGAATCCATAATGATATGCAATTTGTAATTGGCTTGGCCCCAACCATTATGGATGTTGATTACTGAACTGTATTTGAAGGACAGGCCCATAATTTTCACAATAATATAAGAATTTATTTAAGGGGAAAGATGTGGTAGAAGGCATAAGACAAATCCGGCCATAAAAACCTTATCTAATCACACATCCCAGTCTTTTCAATTGTACCAAAAATGTGAGAAGCAGTATTGGAACGTTGGTAGAAGTCTTGTATAGCCCTTTCTCACTGTACCAGATTTAGCCAGGTTATGATAGCCATGTTGACATGATGGCTGCAAGCAGCAATAGTCTGACTAATGAAGCAGTCTCTAGGAAAGCCTGGCCTCAGGTTGAGCTACAAAAGTAAGAGCTATTAAAAAAAAATGAACCAATATTAACTACAGGTTAACCCATGACATTAGCCATGTAGGCTTGGACTTACCTGATACAGTCTGGGTAAACAATAGGTGGATGCTTATTAATTGCTGTATTAGTTTTGTAAGTCCAGTGGGCTTCATAGCTAGTGAGATTTTGTTTTGGCATGCTACTAATTTAAGATGAACCCAGCATTTGGCTAAACTAAATATTTAAGAGGCAAGCGGATTGTGTATTTATTGTAATAACTAGTACCACTATACCATTACCCAGTGGGCACCATTGGTTGAAGTATGTAACGCCGGTTGCTTTCGACCAGCGGTGCCCACTGGTTACTTTTTGTACCCAGTAGGCACTGTGGTTACTTTTGCTAAATTCTCATTACATTTATGGTGCTTGTCATTTCAAATATATTGCTAAAGGGAGATTTCCTTCTGGGAGTGGGTGTGGCTCACTATTTTTTTTTTTTTTTTTTTACCCTTCACAGGCTTTCGGGATATTGGGCTCATAGCTCCCTGCAAGTGACAGTAACACAGAAATTAACTTCTTAAACTATGTTCTGCTCACTTGATATGCAAATGACCTGATGATTTTTCACTGCCTTGGGGATCTGTAAACCAGATAATGAACTAGGAAGGAAAAGTAATGATGTTTGAAAAAAAGTCTTCCTGCATAGTATTTTTCTGATCCTAGCCTTTATTAGTGCCTTTTCTCCCTTAGACTGTTTCTTGTGCTATCCACAGCAGACACTGGTGAAGATAGCACCTGTGATAGATTATATGTATCTTGCCTTAGGCATTTCACTCCACTGCACTGCTTACATATACTGTAGTTTTAATTCAATTGTGAACTAGTTTTAAAGTATGTTGTATTCTTCTGCTCTCCATTTGGGCCTATTAAGACACCTGGATCAGAGAAAGACATCCCTAAATTAACTATTCTTTACAGTATTATTCTTGTATCTTTAACATTAGAACAAAATCTTTTATCAAGTAATTTAATTTTGTAATGTAGACACTTGATATTTCTAATTCTAATGTACTTTATTTGCTTAGTAGTGGGGTCTTGTACAAGACATTTATTGAGTTCTATTTTGTATTTACCTTACTGTATTTATTTGCTCCTTTAATTTTTGCCAATGCAAAAATGTTTTATAGTACTGTATGTCTTCTATGGGTAAACACTTCAAATATTAAGGCATTTTAATCATTATGTATTCATACAGTATAGGATAGCTCATAATAAGTTATTGTAAATCAGTAAAATATTGAAAAATATAAATTTTCAGAATCATTTCATTTTTATTTACATTGTTGTATGTTGATTATAAACTTAATTGTATTATACAGATCACCAGAATGGTCAAAAGTTTCTGCATCTGAACGAGAAAAACTTGGGCTAACTTTTGAAGATGATGGTGAATTTTGGTAAGTTTTTATATACAGTAAATAATTGAGTTTTGAAATATGTGTATATGCACCTACAGTACTGTACTTACATTCTTTGAACACACATGTATACATTCTGTGAGAAGACTGGGAAGAACTCTGGCAGGGAAAAAAATTTAGGGGTGAGTATGGATGGTAAAGTAAACTGTCATCATTGCACCATATCAAGGGGGGTCTTTTCAGAATTGCCTTAAAATACACGGATCGAGAATCGCTTAAACAAAATTCATAATATACACATGAAACCTAAATTTTGTTACCTAAAGAAAATATAAAATATAAAAGGGGACAAGGACATGCAAATAAATGTTTTCTGGACCTAAAATTCAAACATTGCATGGAGAGCTTGAAGATAAATGGCAAAAAGAGGTGAGGTGATCACTACGGTACATACATTACTTACAATTTTAATTTTGGTGGTGAGCATTGGTTTAATTTAATAATCATTGGTTTTAATAATTATTATTATACATGCAGCATTTAAAGTTTCATTATAAGAGATTGAAAAAAGTAATAAGAATGTGACTTAAATATTTTCAATGAAAGTTCAACAGATAGATAAATTATGTGAAGTGGTAGGCACATCATTAAGACTGACTTCATAATATAAATTACAGAAGGCAATTCTTCATTTTTCTTTCAACTTGGTTGAAGTTAGTACAGAATTAGATTGCAATTAGGTGGTTGTTATTTATTTTATGCCTTTTTTTTAACTAACCCACTTGGTTGCTACTCAAGCTACAGTACATGTTATTGGGGTTGAGAGAGCTGTCAGCTCCTGCTTACCGTCTTTAGTTTTGTAGGTTACCTTGCCGAGTTCTTTGACCCCACTCCAGCTGCCTCTGGCACAGGCTTTTATAGATTTTCTGTGAACTCCTCAACCCCTGATGTGGAGCTTGAGTTATGCAAACACTTTAAAACATACCCAATTCTCATACACACACAATCTCACTATAACTTCTAGGGATTCTGCCAAGTCCTAATACAAGCTATTGCACACCTCACTATGTTATTGCTTAAACTTTCTCTTGTGGGATCTTTTTTTTTTCTTTGGCCATCTTCCCATCATTTCCCACTGGCTGGTAATCCTGAATGCCTTCAACACCTAGCCATGCAGGTGGATTTAGAGTTGAATGATGGTGCTAGGTCTACACCCTCATTGAGGCTTTGCCTGAAAGTGCTGAATTTATCTTGAGATTTATACACTTTCTCTTTCCTGCTTGATGAAAGTCTATGACTTCCTCTATAGGTAGGGGTGTCATTCTGACAAATCACATAGCAACTTTATCCCTGTGTGGAAGCCATACCACAAAATACAGTACAGTATACAAATTTTTAAATACAGTAAATAAGATTTAAATCAGGCTAAGCTCATATATACTAGTTATATTTCATTAGAAACTCAGAAATTAAAAACAAAACTGAAGCGGATGCTAAGGTATCTATTCTTTTAATGTTACAGGATGACATTTGAAGATTTTGTAGAACACTTCACAGACCTCTCCATATGTTTCCTCATCAACACAAAGCTCTTGAGCTTCAGTAAGACTTGGCATGAATCTGTGTTTTATGATGCTTGGACAATTGGTGTCCGTGGCCACAATACAGACAGAGCAGGTGGATGTCCGAACAACAAGGATACATTTTTACGTAATCCACAATATAGGTAAGTAATATAAAAAATATATACAGTATACCTATTTATATATATATATATATATATAATATATATATATAAATATATATATTATATATTTATATATAAATATAAATATATAATAAAATAGTATACGCTACAGTATTTAAGCTTTTTCAAGTACTTACGGTTGTGACTGCATTTTTAATTTTAACCTAAAAATTTAAAAACGGCTACTGATGGCACGCATTAAGTCACTATAACATGACAAAGCAATGTTGACATTTTATGGAAATGATGCACAAAATTAAGGAGCATCTTAAGGACATATTGAGAAATAATAATAATAATAATAATAATAATGCTTATTCAGGTAAAAGTCCATACATTAAAAATGAGTTACAAAAAGAAAGTTAGATTTCTAGATAGAGCTAATACATACTATGCCTAAAGCCACTAACACACACAGCGTTTCGGGCAAGAAACGCTGTGAAAAGAAAGAAAGGATTATGTCATTATAAATCAACTCCAAGTTTTTTTGTAATACAATTCCTTTTCTGGCATGCATCATATTTTTATGCAAGATCCTTAATGAATGTCTATACAGATCAGTGAAATTATAGGTGTCAGGTAATGGATCTCAGTGTTAAGTTGAGAGTTGACTGTGCCTTCCAAGTAACATACATAAGAGGTGTTTTTACCTTCCAGATTTGATATTAAGGACGAGGTTGATGATGTCATATTCCACTTGATGCAGAAAGATACCCGGGATCGAAAACAGGAAGGGATGCAAAATCTGGTTATTGGCTTTCATGTTATGAAGGTTTGTCAGTTATTCACATTTCTTGCCATTAGGAAAGAGTTCTATTCAAGGACAATGAATGTACTGCTCGTGTTAATGTTTTTGTGTATTTAAAACTGTACAGTTCTTTATACTAAAATGTTATCACTATTGCAGGTAGAAGAAAACCGTAGGTATCGTGTACATCGCAGTCATGCAAGTGTAGCCACATCAGACTATATTCGCACAAGAGCCATTTTTCTACGAGAACAGCTGAAGCAAGGGCGTTACGTTGTTATTCCTACAACTTTCAAACCTGATGAAACTGGAGAATATATTTTTAGAATGTTCACATCTAAAGATCCTGATGCAAAGTAAGTTCACAAGTTTATTCTATTTGTTTTTTCACCTGACCCGATACTAGTATAAATCTAACGAGATCTGTAATTTCTTATCACTTGAGAATGAACCATATAGGTTCGAAACATTGTGCAATTGTATAATAAGTGTAATACATTCTATAGTAATTCACTTTTTTCTTCATCTTGGAAAATGAACATGACTTTTGAAGAACTTCTATTTCAACTAAATCCTGATGCAAGAATAATAGAGGGATAGAAGCCCTAAACCAGAAGATAGTAAATACAGAATATGCTGTCATATTCAATGAGACATGTTTAAAAGAAAACCTGCTGCCAGTATACACCAATATGTGTGTGTGTGTGTGTGTGTGTGTGTGTGTATATATATATATATATATTCCCACAGAGAGCTGACAAAGGATGAACCAAAGATACCATGGTACTCGTGCGTCAAGAAACCCAGTATTGTTACCACAGTCACTGTGAAGTGTGCCACTGACCTGGAGAAGCAGTCTTCATTTGGAGGTAAGGCATTTCCACTGCAATTTAAAGACTGTGATGCTAGTGTTATAATAAATTTTAAAAATTTTGTCATGCTGAGCTACGTACATCATGATATCTTGTGTAATAATTCATTTGTAGTGACTGAAATATAGTATTTACTGTATGTAAAATATATATTATGGTTGAGTATTTATTTTTTTAATTAGTAATAGGGAATAAAAAATCCACTTAAATTAGAATATATGACTTTGCTGTATATAGAACATTATCATTTGAACTTTCTCTTTAATCCAACAGTTGTGAAAGGAAAGAGTGAGTATAATTTCTGATCCCTTAAAACCAAGTTTAAGAACATTTTAAGTCTTCTTAATTTTAAATGAACCTATTCTTTTCTGTACTTTTAATACATGCTTTGACCAACATAATCAGCCCTGATGAACAAAAATAAGACTGAGTAGACATGAACTGAGTTTCTGTACAGATCACACTTATACTTCATTAGACAATATACTACACTCTTAATTCTTTTACTGAAGTGCCCACTGAAACATTTTATTCTCACTAAGGGAAGGAAAACAGGTAAAACATATTTTTGTTTCAGAATTATTTTTAAATTTCTAGTAAAAGTAAACTTGCTCTTTCCATTTACAGCATTCAATTAAAAATTCAGAAAAAAGTGAAAAATAAAATAAATAAAAATGTAATTTCTGGTAAAGCTTCCTCAGAAACTACTCACCAGCAATACCATTAAGCCTAAGGATCATGTCAGGCCTCCGAGACCCATACTGATTTACTGGATCAGGACCACAATCTCTATCTAATCTTTGAGTTGACTTTGGGAAACCAACCAGAAAAGTTAGGCAAAACAAAACAAATTATCCTTTGAAAGGAAGAAATTAAAATTTATTTGAGAAAAGGAAAACAAAAGGAAGTACAGTAATGAAAATGAGGAAAACTAGGCAAAGTTTGCCTAGTTTTTGAGGGTGAACAACAAATCTAATGTGACCGGCTGCCACCAGACGGCAACACAGGTCAACCAAGGCCTTGTCCTACCACCTACCTCATTTGCCTGGTATAGTATGGCTCAGACAAGCCTATTTGTCTGTATATTCATTCAGGGAGCCGGTCGGTCGAGCGGACAGCACGCTGGACTTGTGATCCTGTGGTCCTGGGTTCGATCCCAGGCGCCGGCGAGAAACATTGGGCAGAGTTTCTTTCACCCTATGCCCCTGTTACCTAGCAGTAAAATAGGTACCTGGGTGTTAGTCAGCTGTCACCGGCTGCTTCCTGGGGGTGGAGGCCTGGTCGAGGACTGGGCCGCGGGGACACTAAAAAGCCCCAAAATCATCTCAAGATAACCTCAAGATAGCCTTTTCTGAGACCTGCTCATGGCTTCCTAAGCCAGCTACATGCCGTGAAGCTGAATAGATTCAATGTATATTATAATCAGAAGAATAGTTCCATGTGGAGAAATACTGTACTTCTTTCCATGCTAATCTATTACCTCTTGGCATTTCTAATTCCAAGATTAATACTATTGAAAATAAAAGCTACACATCAAGCATCATGCAGCCTGCTACACTTTCTTTTCTGTCTAGTACTAAGCACAACATGCTTCCTCTTGTCTGTTCTGCTTCATAAAGCACTTGCTAAATGTATATTAGTGTTATTAAAAGCTATCTAGGATGACTTTTGTGTCTTAAAATCATTATGCTCTAATTACTGGATAGGCACCCCATGCTGGAGGCATTTCAAGACATGATCCAATCATGCACGGGAATTATAAACCCAAACATTCCTTCCTCTTAGATAACTTGCCACAACCAATCACACCTGAGGCAAATCGGTTGACTCGGATATTTGGATAATAGATGGCCCAATTAAAAAGTTTATATACATATATAATATATACCGGTATTCATTTGATACGTCATAAATTTTGCAATTCTGTATTTGCACTTTTTCATGCGTCTGGAAATTTTGAAAAAGGACTCGGCCACGTAAGTAAGTTTCAAAATATCTATGTATGTTTTAGTGAATAAAATACATAACTTGTACCTGTATATATAATAATAAATGTACTAGAAACCATATTGAAAACCTATTGTCTCCTTTAATGCTGTATCAACTGATCAGGTCTTATTTATGAGAACAAGTAGGTAATAACAGGCTGAAAGAAAAACTTACCCATATAGTATAAATATTTACATAATCTTACCATTCCTGATCAGATTTGATCACAACTTGCATATTTCCAGGGGAAGCTGATGCATACTGTATTCTAAAGTGTGAAGGAGAGGTTGTTCGAACACCAGTGGCCAAGAACACAACAAACCCTACCTGGGACGCAACAGCAATCTTCTACCGTGCCAATCCAGAGGAACCAGTTGTTATTGAGGTAAAAACATTATACTGTATCAAATATTAATTGATGTCTTTCACTTGGACTCAACTATACAGCAGAGGCCTTGCTTCTTCAAGGCAGGCCTTTGGTCTTTGATGGTCCAAGTGGGTTGGGCAGCATTTCTTCCATCCATCTTACCCTGCTCTTTTTCCTCAATTACATTACCTTATAAGTTTTTCTGTGGGGGAGCCCTGTCAGTTCCCCGGAGCTTTACCAGGCTTATATGCTAATGTCAGACTTTGGCATCAGTCATGTGTATGGAGTTCTAGGGCCTACTGGGGACCACGGCCAGAACCTGGCCCCCTCAGAGAGGCAAGGGAAGCAATGGCCTATAGAAATCCCCGTGTGGTTGGAAGCATTCTATGTCTGCCATCGACCGGGTCCAGCATCCAGAAAGGTAAGCATTCCAAAACAAACCCCTATTCTGGTGAAAATTGCTACCTAAAGCCGAACTAGTGGATAGAACTCCTCAACAGAAAACAAGCAAACTAGTATGACGTCACACGTCACTGCGCCGCTGTCTGCGCAGCTCCCCTCTCCCCGGGAGGGGGAAGGGGGAGCCCCAGACCTCCCACGCCAGCTAGCCACCCATCAGTTCTTCGGCTGATGCTATAGGCACCGGTTATGTGCTCCGGCTCCAGTGGTTGTTAGAGCACTGTACCTAGAGTGTGGTGTCTGTTTTCTAGGTGGTGCGTGAGCCGGGAGTGATTCTCCAGTACTCGGGCTGCATGTGCCTAGGGTTCTCTTCCCTAGGTGCCCTGTAAGTACTGCCCTTGGGGCCACCTTCCACAAGTTCCTTGGGGGCTGCCCCTGCTAGGTCGTTTACTGCTTGGTTTTCAGCTGCTCTTTGTGTGCTTGGGTGTTCTGTCTCTCTTGTTCGCCTTAGAGTAACGGGCAGTTTTGCTCTGGTGGGGCACAGGGTACTGTGCAGCTTGTCTTTACCAATCATGGCGGCCAGCTCTGTTCTGCTTTGGTACGCTGTCCTCTTGCAGGGTTTTCTTTTTTCTTTTTGTTTATCTACCTGGTGGGGGGGTCTGCCTTCGTTCTTGCCCCTTGTGTCCCTTGTGTTCTGAGTATTTTCTGGTGGTACCCCCTGCTAGGTCCCCGTGAGTGTACACGTCCCGGGGGTTCAGCTCTTAGAAAGTTGTTTGGTAGCTTTGGGTGCTGGTTAGCAGAACCCTGCCTGGGATTACCTGAGCGCGAGTCCTCTTATAGTAAACGCTCGGGACCCTGGGAAACCCCTGGGGGTGCGTGGGTCTGATGGATGTGACCCGTCCCCCCCCTCGCTTCCAGCGAGTTTGAGGGTTGCTCTCACCCTTTGTCTCTGGGTGACTCTCTGTTTTGCCTCCGTTTGCTCTGCGGGAAGGCGCCAACCAGGACTACCGCACTAGAAAAGGAGCCAAAAGAGGAAGCAGGAACAACAAAACCGGCCAACGAAGCGAAGACAGAGCCCAAAAAGGTACCCAACCGGGCCACAAGTAGCCCAACATTGCTACAAGTAGCCCATCCGGCTCACAAGTAGCCCAATAGGGCCACAAGTAGCCCAATAGGGCCACAAGTAGCCCAAAACGGCGACCCGGACGAGGAGCTGACAGACGTTCCAATAATGCTTCCCGAACCCTCAAGAACACAGAAGCCAACACTAGTCCCGAAGGCACACAAAGGCGCAAGCGCACCCGAGACCAGAAGTCACATAGAACCCCAAGAACGGGGAAACATGACGAAGACACCGTCCCAAAATGGGGGGGGGGGGGAAGCATCCACCCACAGGACAGAACCAACCGACTCAAACGCCAAGGAACCGAGCCCGGGAAGGGGCCGACGCCCAACAGCACGTATGGCGAGTGGGGAGGAAAGACCCCACTCCAGATAACCACAAGCCCCGCCTAGAGGGGGAGAAAAAAACCCAAGGGGTCCTACGGGGTCAAGGGCCCCCAAAGTCATCAGCCCCTCCCCAGCCCCGGGAACCGACACGACAAGCCCCTGGGCCAAGCCGTCCCCTCAAAGCCCCGGCCATACCAGAAAACCAGGGCAGCAGCGAAAACAGTAAGGAAGGGAGCCCACTGGCAGACTCTTACAACACGGCTAGAGGAACAGGCTCAATGCCCCCGTCACTATCCCGGAAGGGGAATTCCCCGAGACTGCCCGAGTCTCAACACCATCAAACCCGCCTCGATCCTACAGATGGTAAGGAACTGGATACAGGCAGGAAGGGGGATCCAGGGAAATGACAAGGGGCATGGAAGGAACCGAAGCAACCATCACCCCCAAGTCCCAACACGAACCAAAACAGGGCAGCCCCGGGGCTCCCGGGGAGTAAACCACGAGAGCGTTGCCACCACCAACTCTCAAAGTGCAACGCCCCTGCTGCCCGCACCCGCTTAGTCAGCACAACTGGGTAACTGAGCCACAACGAGCAACAAAACTCGCAGGACTTGGGTCGAAGGTGTTACCGATCCCACAGGCAGCAGACGGAGGCAAAACAGAGAGTCACCCAGAGACAAAGGGCGAGAGCAGCCCTCAAATTTGCTGGAAGCAAGGGGGGACTCTGGGGTCACATCCATCGGACCCACGCGCCCCCAGGGGTTTCCCAGGGTCCCGAGCGTTTACTATAAGAGGACTCGCGCTCAGGTTATCCCAGGCAGGGTACTGCTAACCGGCGCCCAAAGCTACCAAACAACTTTCTAAGAGCTGAATCCCCGGGGACCTAGCAGGGGGTACCACCAGAAAATACTCACAACACAAGGAACACAAGGGGCAAGAACGAAGGCAGACCCCCCACCAGGTAGATAACAAAAAGAAAAAGAAGACCCCGCAAGAGGGCAGTGTACCCAGGCGGAACAGAGCCGGCCGCCATGATTGGTAAAGACAAGCTGCACAGTACCCTGCGCCCCACCAGTGCAAAATTGCCCCTTACCCAAAGGCGAACAAGGGAGAGAGAACACCCGAGCACACAAAGAGCAGCCGAAAACCAAGCAGTAAACGGCCTAGCAGGGGCAGGACCCAAGGAACTTGTAGAAGGTGGCCCCAAGCCCCAAGGGCAGTACTTACAGGCCACCTAGGGAAGGGAACCCTAGGCGCATGCAGCCCGAGTACTGGAGACACACTCCCGGCTCACGCACCACCTAGAAGACAGACACCACACTCTAGGTACAGTGCTGAAACAACTACTGGAGCCGGAGCACATAACCGGTGCCTATAGCATCAGCTGAAGAACTGATGGGTGGATAGCTGGCGTGGGAGGTCTGGGGCTCCCCCTTCCCCCTCCCGGGGAGAGGGGAGCTGTGCAGACAGTGGCGCGGTGACGTGTGACATCATACTAGTTTGCTTGTTTTCTGTTGGAGTTCTATCCACTAGTTCAGCTTTAGGTAGCAATTTTAACCAGAATAGGGGTTTGTTTTGGAATGCTTACCTTTCTGGATGCTTGACCCGGTCAATGGCAGACATAGAATGCTTCCAACCACACGGGGGGTTTCTATAGGCCATTGCTCCCCTTGCCTCTCTAAGGGGGCCAGGTTCTGGCCGTGGTCCCCGGTAGGCCCTAGAACTCCATACACATGACTGATGCCAAAGTCTGACATTAGCATATCAGCCTGGTAAAGCTCTGGGGAGCCGACGGGGCTCCCCCCAGAAAAAAAGTTTCAACATTCTGTAGAGACCTGGAAAAAAAACACTCAGTGTTGAGTGTAATGAAATGCTAGTTTCTGGGTAAGCCCCAGTGGCTCTCTAAAGCTACTATCTCTGATAGGCCACTATACTACTAGGTCCTATCAGTCCCAGAGTTCTGTTGGCCTACTGGGAACCTTGAGCCAAAGCCTGGTCCTCACAGAGATGCAGGGGGTCGTGGCACTTATGATAATGGTTTTTATTAATTTATTCATATCTGCCACCACTGAGGAAGGCAACCAGAAAGTCAGCAAAACAAAACAAACCAAACCACTGCTGGCTTCAAATGAGACCACAGCTTCGTGAACTGCCAACAGGGCCCCCCTCTCCCTAAACAATGTAAACGAATGATCGAAAGTTCACGAAACTAATGTGAGCTCGTTCAACCCACCTCCCACTTATTTGGAAATGAGGGGTGAAGGCAGCCCAGGGTAAGCCAGCTGCTCAACCCTTAGTTCTATTCTTATGGTAGCATATGTCAAGGTCTCCTCTCTCACTCTGGCTCCTGTGTACTTTCAGCTAAGTGGTGATTTTGCCTATGTGGCTGTTCCTGAATGCTATGGTATAGTGCGAGCTAAAAGTTAAGATTGCTTGGCGCTGCATGTGCTAAGGGATATTGATTCTCTGAGGGAGTGATCCCCAAATACACCAGGGACAATAATCATGGCAGTGCAAGGGCAGTATTAAGGAGGGCACAGGGAAGATAACAGTGAGCACATGCAGATCCAAGCATTCTTAACACCATACCAAAGCATACAGGAACAGCCACATAAGCAAAACCACCACTTAGCTGATAGCACACTGGAGCCAGAGTAACAGAGAGAATACCTTGACACATGCTATCGTCTTAGTTATCTTGAGATGATTTTGAGGCTTAGCGTCCTTGCGGCTCGGTCCTCGACCAGGCCTCCTTTTTGTTACACCCCCCAGGAAGCAGTCCGTAGCAGCTGTCTAACTCCCAGGTACCTATTTACTGCTAGGTAACAGGGGCATCAGGGTGAAAGAAACATTTTGCCCATTTGTCTCCGCCTCCACCGGGGATCGAACCCGGAACCTCAGGTCTATGAATCCGAAGCGCTGTCTACTCAGCTGTCAGACGGCGCATCATAATAGAACTGAGAGTTGAGCAGGCTTACCCTGGGCTGCCTCCATCCTTCCCCACCAAACGAGGGGGAAGGGAAGGTGAGGCGAACAAGCTCCCTTTAATTTTGTGAAATTTCGATCGTTTGTTTACATTGAAGGGGAAGTTCTTTCGGGGGTTCTCAAGGCTGTGGTCTCATTTGAAGCCAGCAGTTGTTTGTTTTGTTTTGCCTGATTTTCTGGGTGCTTTCCTCAATGATGGTAGACATGAATAAATTAATAAAACTGTTATCATAAGTACCACTGCTCCCTGCATCTCTGTGAGGGGTCCAGATTCTGGCCTGTGGTCCCCAGTAGGCCAATAGAATGTCACTACTGATGGAACCTACTAGTATGGCATGTTTCAGGGCTAGTAGCTTGAGGGAGCCACGAGGGACTCCCCAAAGAAACTTTTTTATGAGAAATTATTATTTTATCATCAGTCATATAATAGCAATTGTGCTATAGAAGGATTAGGATTAGTTTATTTGGTTGTGTATCTGATACTATAGAATGATAAAAGTGAAACCTCCATTGATTTCCCTGTTGCATTTGAAATATATTTAGTATAATTTATGCTACTGTTTATTTTTTGTTTAGTAGTACAGTGGCTTTCATTCTTGGTGAAAGAGAAATGATTGGGCATGCTTCATTTTACCTAATGCCTCTGTCTATCAAGCAGTAAATAAATACCCAAGACTTGCACAATTGTTTTGGGTTGTATATTTGGATTAGTTAATTAGTTGACCTGGGAATTAGCGAATTGGACTAAAAAATTGGACTAAGTCAATAAGCCTTAGTCCAGGCTTCCTGTCCCTAACAATGGGAATTATGAATGATGTTTTGCATGGCTATACCTGTCCTATATTTTATATACCAGTTTTGTCACAATCTTACGTATTTTCATATTTATTTCCCAACACAGTTATGGAACAGTAATATGCTTGTGGACGGGTTCATCGGTCGGGCAGAAATTGCAGCTCCAATCAACCCAGCCATCACACAAATAGAGCTTCCACTATATGGCAGACGGAAAGAAAAAACAGTGGAGAAGCAGGGAAAACTAACAGTTCAAGTGTATTGTGATGATGACCTGACCAGTATTTGAATTGCAAGCATAATAAAAAGATGTCATTATATTACTGTTTAAGGTTAAGATACACACATAAAATCAAGAAATTATACATGGTTTCTATTATACACAATATATATATGTGATCAAGTTAAAATGCTATTGATTTCCTGGCAGTTCAGAAATTTTAGCAATATGCATTGCATTTTACAAAATGAGTTATTACATTCTATTTTTTTCTTTTTATAAACAATTTGCAGGAAAAAGTTAGCAAATTTTAATATTCTGTTATATAGAGTTGTATGTTTATGTAAAACTCACAATAAAACTAAACCGAGAATGTAGGCTTATTTTTTTGTCATGCAGTTTGGAAGCACAAATCAAAGATATGTAGATGCTCAATATAAAACAAACTTTAAGTATATAACACCAGGTATTTTTTTATCCAGGGCTCTGACAGACAATGTATACTGAATGAGCTCGCTTATCCAGACTATATAGAAAGGACCTCCCACTGGATAAGCCAGATATCCAGATAAGCCGTATTTCTTACAGGGAAAATCCAAAAATAAACACATTAGTAATTTTTTGTAGCACAACCAACATAATTTGAATTTCCACAAACACACTACAGTACAATTAAAAATTATACCAGTACAGGTACTGTAATTTAAAACAAGGTTAAACTTACTTTGTAGTTTGTCTTCTTGACTGATGCTGCACATCTTAAAATCAATACTTCTTGAAAATTTATGTAGCCTAACCTAACACAACACAAAAATTACTGTACAGTACATGAGTTTGGCAAGGCCATGTTTTGACTGCCAGCTGCTAAAGCTGGCAGTCAGAATGAAGCCCCTCCACATGCCCCTCCTCATCGACCAGACAAAATGAAGCCCCTCCACATGCCCCTCCTCATCAACCAGACACAAAATGAAGCTCCTCCACATGCCCCTCCTCATCAACCAAACACAAATTGAAGCTCCTCCACATGCCCCTCCTCATCCCCCCAGACACAAAATGAAGCTCCTCCACACCCCCTAGGCACAAAATGAGGATATGCCCCTCTTCATCCTCCCTACTCTTCCCTCTGTCCTAACCCCCCCCCCATACCTTGAAACAACCTACCCCAACACCTGCCATACCCTGTGCCTCGAGCCACAGCTGTATAGGATTAATACAGTATGGCCTGATGCACATATGTGGTATCTGGCAAAATCTCCTGTTTTCCAGATTTCTGCCCGGGTATGGCAAAGTTTGGCAAAACATTATCTAGGCTTGATTTAGAATCTATGCCAGTCTGCACTATCTGGCCAAACCTCCAGGTATCCAGATTGCTATCTGGACACGGTGAAGGTTTGCCAGGAAAATATCCAGACGTGATTTTGGTGAGATAATCCAAATATCCGGTTAAATGGAATTCCGATAAGTGAGCTCATACAGTACTCAAGCTTTCATCACTTGCTCAATACATATCAACTCCTAGCAGTGTGTCCAGAGCCTTAACTTTATTATTATGATGCTAATAATAATAAATTAAATTAAATTCATTAATTTATTAAATTGAATTATTAAATTGAACAAATTAACCTACACACCAGTAGGTTCTGTTTTGGGCTTTACCACGATTGTTAGAGGAAAAATAACTGAAAGGATATTTGACAAAAGTTGATCATAGCACAAATTGCTTCATTTTAACGTCTCTCTCCATCCCACGACAGACATAAGAATTAGAAATGTATCACAATTTAGTTTATTTGAGATAGAATTAGTCTGCAAATTGAAAGCTAATACAGTATATATTTTGTAGAGATACTGTATGTTGCAGAGTACAGTACTGTAGTTTTAATTTTTTGCTTTTTGTCTAGTTCATCAATGATCATATGATTGATTGATTTTATGAACTGCTTGAATTAATTATAGTTTTTACAAGGCTACTTATATAGGCTATTTAATCAGTTCTAATACAAGAGGCGAGTTTTGTGTTTATTAATTTTAATGTTAGGGATTTGTATTTCTTTTGCATTTTTATAAATTATAAAGTGTACTTAATATGTATAAAAATATTTCCTACTAACTGAAAGTGTACAAGATGAAAAACCATTCTTACTAAGACTGCATATGTTGCATTTCCGAAATCTCTATAATTAGGTGTGAGTATATATATAGAAATAATAGCATTTGTTGCCTTATCATCTCTGTTGGCAATGAGAACTAGGTATAAAAGGCAGAAAGAATGTATCTTATACAGTACTTGGTATATTAATATTTTATAAATATTATTTTAAAACATTGTGCTATTAGAACAATAAATTCCAATTATTTCTTGGTTAATGCTTAGTGCATGATTCCTTTTGTTACTTTATTAGTCTTACTTGCTTAGGATCTTACCACTTGGCTTTATATTCTGTTCTGGCATATGAGCTTTAGTAAATGATAAGTGATTTTTTCAACTTTATTGTGGTACAGTATGAATTATCAGAGATGATGGAAAATAGGTCTCGATTGCTATTTTAGAGGCCTGTTTTTATGATTTCTTGCAAATGTAAAATTCTTTCATCATTAAAGGAATGTGTCTGCCTATTTTGATTTTATTATTACAGTAGACAAGGTTTTTATTCTGGATTGAGAACACATCATCAGATTGACTTGAAATTGAAAATGTTTACTCAATTCCCGACATAATATACTCACTACACTACTAAATGTCACCTCAAAGTTTTTAATGTTACACCATTGTAACAACAATGTTTGGTTACAGTGTGTGTCTACTGAGTTTCAACAAGAATTATATTTAAGGCATCCCCATAGCATTGCAGTGGGAATGTATTTGAATGGAAGCATTTTTCCAGACACTCCATTGCAGATGACTGAGCATACTTTTACACATTTGGATAACAAAAGCAATTGGATAAAAATATTAAATACTGTAAATAATGCTTTGCTGAATTTTTGGCAATACATACAAGTTTAGTGAATGAAATATTTACTCTTGCCAAAACTTCACCTGCACAGTGTTTTTTTATTGGAGCAAATCTTAAACTACAATGGAAACCCTGTGGTCCTGGATTTTCCATTTATTTTTATTTGTTTCACATTTTATCTTTTACCTTTGTTTCTATGAATTATGTGATGAAACTGACAGATGAGTAAACATGAGTGACATCTAATGATTTCAGGAAAAAATATATACAGTATATTGTAATAAAATGAGCTGTACCTTGCTCATATAGCTATAATTTTGTTGAATCATGATCATAGATTTATATATGATGCATATATTTTAATATAAAAGTGCTGTCTTAAATCCTACAATGAATGAAAGTATTTTAATTATTTTAAAATATTCAGAATTCTTCATCTTCACTTCAGTTTTTAATACAGATTTTTTGTCATGCTAAATTATTTATACAGGTATGCAAATTACTTTAATCAAGGATATAACTGCAAAATAAATAGCATTGTTTATATCCTCATTGTAAAGCTTTGTGAATAGAGGGGAAAGGCCTTATAATTTTGTATTTCTTTGGAGTAGCTGTTTTCTGTATGTACTACATTCTGTGCTTTGTTATACTTCTGTTATTGTCTTTTGTCAAATACCTAATTGTGACTCTACAATAAAAAATTAAAAGATATAAGCACTATATATATACTGTATATATATATGCATTTTTATACCTAATTAGGAAATTATACATGTTTATATATATATATATATATATGTATATAATGTATATGTATTGGAGGCAATGGTTTCCACACAGCCTCCCAGATGGCTATGCTGGACTGTTTCCTCCTCTTATGCATCAAATAATCTTTTAAATATAAATGCTACAGAACCCCTTGGTGAATCTGCAGGGATACACGATTCTGACGACAATGAATGTTCCAATCAGTGGGATGCTCTTATAGCTCCAGCACCAAGACCAGACACCCTCTCCCCCCCCTCAAAAACAAAAAACAAACAAAAAAACAAACACAAACTGTCCAGTAGGGACAGCCAAGTGGTTGAGAAAAAAGCAGAGGTCTTTCTCTGTGCAGCACCATCACACCAGAAGCAAGCTCACAATACAGTACTGTCATACTGGGCCTCCCAAATAGCTCAGTGGTAGAGCTTTCACCTCTCACTGTGGGGTCGGTGGTTCGAGTTTCCTAGTGCCTAAGAGAATGAAATGTCTATTTCCATAATAGTGGGGTTGATAATTTATATGACGCGGGTGTGGCTCACTAATTCCTATGTGCTTCAGAGGGAGGCGAGGAAATTATAAACTTTAAGTTGGGCAGTGGTTTACTGCCTCTGAAATTTTTCCTATTGGGCTTCCTGAATAGCTCAGTGATAGAGCTTTTGCCTCACACCATAAGGTCAATAGTTTGAGTCTCCCAGTGTAGAAAATTTATATTAATTTCCAGTGATCAGTGACTATTGGTGAACATAACTATAAGAAAAAACATTTTTAATGTTTTTTCAAAATATTTAGCTAGGTGTAGCCGGCAGGCAGTGCCAAAAACTACCATAGAGGTAAAAATGTGATCCTGGCAAGCTGTTCTTAAATTTTGACAAACCCAACCAGCCAATGTCTGTCCCTTACCTCAGACCATTACTCCTGCAAAGCAGGTGAGGCTACCCTCAAGCATTTGGCCTCCAACCTTGGTCAAATAATAATTTTCTCTTATATACTCAACTGAATTTACCTGAGGTCACTATCTCTCGAGTGGCCTGAGTGAAGACAGGAAGGTGGCAGCTTGTCGAAGGTCCTCCATTTATCCTGATGATTTTATCAAGCTGGACTTTGAAATTCAGGAGTGTTTTGGCATTTACGGTTTCGGTGGGTAGGCAGTTCCATGGGGTTATAACTTTATCAGTGTAAAAGTATCTGTTTTCCATCATGCATTGCGGCTTGTTGAACTTAAAACCGTTGCTTGCTGTTTGTGTTACATCTTAACTTATTGAAGCAGTGGTCTGGATCAATATCCTCCAAATAGTTCAGTATTTTTAAATGTTTTGATGAGATCAGCCCTGTCATGTCTGGTTTGTAGTGTTGTTAGCTCTGTGGTCCTCAAGTGTTCTTAGTTTTCTTATTAAAAATGTTTATGGGAAGCAAATTAAAACTAAAGAAAGAAGCATTAATAATACAATAAATAGAGTGAGCAGAGAAAATAATTTATGTTCACAGAAAAAATACATTATCTTGCAATTCTCAGATGTGTTAAATGGGTTAACACCGGTTAGGTTGGGAAATAGTTTGAGTTTCTTCATGGCATTCCAGATGTTCTACAGCAATCAAAATGTGAGAAGATTTTTTCCAAATATTCTTGACTTTAAAAGTGTTTCTGGGGTTCAGAGCAACCAGACTTCAGAATGACAAGTTGAGATCTTCATTTCCGCATCTTCTGGAGATTTCCAGTGTTGGGTATTTGTAGCATTTTGTGTACTCAGAGACAGAAGCCCCCATCAATGGTGAACACATTGCCAGTATGGTATGATGACTGGAACATAGTTAAAATAAGGTCAATGAAATGAGCTTATTTTTTATTAAAATTGTGTGGTTTTTAACATTCTACATTCAGCACCAACATTATAGTAAAAAATCCGTTATACTTAGTCTTATGATATTTAGGGAGGCTTTCGGGTTTCTATGGACCCACCATGAATGGTATAGTCATAAAAATGATTAAAATTTCAGGTTAAAGTTATATTTCATCAAGTGGTATTCAGAGAGCATCTCAGTTCAACGTCACATATAATAACATTTAAGTTTATATATTATATGGCACATTTAAACAACACTAACTTTTACTTAAACAACATTTAAAGAACACCTCAAAACAGGGTATGGTCGTTTCAGAAATGAGATGATTCGATGAAGCTCCTTTTTGTTTTATAATTACTCTATAATTTCTTGTTAGTTATTTATTTATATTTATTGTACAAGAGTTCTTACATTCTTCTAAGAACTTGTAATTACGTTTTATAATTATAAATACAGTTTGATAAAACTGTATGCAGAGTATTGTTATGCTAGGCTATTAGCTTTGGTTATGCTGCATTGATCTCTGTTGAGTTAGGTTGGGTTGGTCCATAGAATTACCCAAATCTACCCAAATCCACCCAAATCCTCCTAACATTACGTAAGTAATGAAGACATATGGTAATTACTTACTATAATGTTGGTGCTGAACGCAGAACATGATCAGACTTATTTTTACTCTGAAATAATCTAATTTCATAACGAAATTAAAAGTATATATGTGGCAGGTGATGCCATAGGAAGTCGACGGTCCAAGCGACAATTTTGTGGAGCGACTTATCCAAGATATATGGTCGCCTGGAGAGTGTTTGCTGCCATAGCAGTCTCCTGTACACAGTGATCCCGTCGTCGCCCTTCTTGGCTCAAATTGTCGCAAATTTAATTGGTGATATTAACAAGTAGAATGCGTATTTATAATAAAATCTTTCATAAACAGCCATTAAATATTTAATATTTATTAAAAAAACGTGTCTGGAAGTTAAATCAACTCTACAGGACAATAATTTTGTTATATAGATACTAACGTTATTCGTTGGTATGCGTTCGCTATTTAAACTACTTATGTCCTTTTCGTTCATAGAACACGGAACCCTACACGCTCTCTGATATATTGCTTAATTAACAAAGAATCACAAATAAAGATTATATTTGTATATGTTATCATAAAGGCAGAGATAAAATAGCTTTTGTGAATCCATCACAGAAATTATACCTTATTAGAGAGGAAAAATATTCATATTTTAAACAAGGCTTCTTGGCCGACGCTCTTCCTATCGATGGGAACTATGACCTTTCGAAGATCAATGTTAATTTAATCTAGATTATTGTAATAAACGAAGGATTCTATGTCATCATAAAGACAGAAATATATGCTGCATGTTAATAAACACTTTAACGAGCACGGCGATATAGACTGGAACTTCCTGGAAGTGAAATCGACGTTTTCAGGTGACCGAGCGGCAACACTGAAAAGTGCATACTCTTTTCGCTGTTCTGACCTTAATTTTCGATGTACAGATTTAATTTTTATACCAATGTGTTCGCAATAGAATGATATATAGGAACATATAAGAACATATGTATATGTCACCAAAGCATGAGTTAAATCACACAAAAAGCTAAAGAACTACATCGATCACTAGCCGTGAGCTCCAAACAGCGACGAAATGTTTCTACTCTTTTCAGGGTTGTCAACTCCACACTTCTCCTACAGCGTTAAATTTGGTATCACTGTGATCGCAATTAAATTCCCTACACGGACATATGCATATAAATGTGTGAAGTGGGCGATAACACTCGCCGTGTCAACAATACAATAGTCTTTCCACTAAGTTACAATACAATGCCGTTCTCCCAAATAGGCCATGTGCCTATTAGAGAAAACGGAAATTTAATGGCAAACATTTTCATACTATCCCCAAGTCGATCGAATAAGAATTGGATTTTATACAAATATTTTTTTAATCGCACGTAAATTTACGACGCGGGTGTACTTTTAGGAAAAAATACGCGTCGTTTATTTACGACCCGGGAGCGCTAAAGTGTATTAATAATTTGGCATAAATATAACTGAAGTTATATTTCACCTAGTTTTCACCATATTTCACCTAATGCGACTGTTCATGTGTCCGGACACCAGCGATAGTGTAGTATTGGCTATTTATTTAACCATATCTTTGCTTTCATTTAAGATATGTTTTCCTTGAAATGTAGTTACATCATCGTCTACATCTGTCTTTATTCTGACATAAAAACCTTTGACGTTACTTTGCATATACGTAAATTAATTATAAAATTGATTGGCTTGTGTGCAGGCCTTTACACTCCCTGAGCAAGTCATCAAGTAACTATAAAAAGGCATATATCTTCACTTTCACTTCAGTTATATTTATCCCAAAGTATCAATATGCAGCCTATATTTCTGGCTTTATGATGACATAGAAAACTTCGTTTATTACAATATCTAGATTAAATTAATATTGATCTTCGAAAGGTTGTACAGTAGTTCCCATCGATTGGTTGAGCGGTGGCCAAGAAGCCTTGTTTAAAATATGATTTTTTTTCCTCTCTAATAAGGTATAATCTGTGATGGATTCACAAAAACTATTTTATCTCTGCATTTCTGATAACATATACAAATATAATCTTTATTTGTGAATATTTGTTAATTAAGCAATATATCAGAGAGCGTGTAGGGTTCCGTGTTCTATGAACGAAAAGGACATGAGCAGTTTAAATAGCGAACGCATACCAACGAATAACGTTAGTATTGTAGCGAGTAGATTATCCCAATAATATACTCGCTCCAAATATAGTGTTAATGTTCCTGTCAACCTTTGGAGATGAATGAGGTGAGGCGTTGCCCGGGCAACACGGTGAGATGCCCGAGCAATATAAGCAGCGGTGTAGCGAACATTAACTAGTCTACTTTCAAGTGTGGTCTAGAGCAGACAATATTTAGTGACTGTTTATGAAAGATATTATTATAAATAAACATTCTACTTGTTAATATCACCAATTAAATTTGCGACAATTTGAGCCATGAAATGCGACGACGGGATCACTGTGTACAGGAGACTGCTATGGCAGCAAACTCTCTCCAGGCGACCATATATCTTGGATAAGTCGCTCCACAAAATTGTCGCTTGGACTGTCGACTTCCTATGGCGTCACCTGCCACATATATACTTCTAATTTCGTTATGAAATTAGATTATTTCAGAGTAAAAATAGGTTTGATCATGTTCTACGTGTAGCACCAACATTATAGTAAGTAAATATACCATATGTCTTCATTACTTACGTAATGCTAGGAAGATTTAGGTGCTTTTGGGTAGATTTGGGTAATTCTATGGACCGGTTAGAATGGATTTGGTTAAGTAGGTTTCAATATCTATTGCAAAAATCCCTTTTATAATATATATATATATATATATATATATATATATATATATATATATATATATATATATATATATATATATATATATATATATATATATATATATATATATATATATATATATAAAATATGAGCTTTTGTTGAATCGTCTTATGGACGAAAGTACCATATGTTTTTCGTGAGGTTGTATGTTGGCAATATTTCGAAAGATAAAGTCACATTGTACACAAGATGAATCATTAATATATATATATATTAGTATAGGCTAGGCTGTATTGGGCTCGGTTGGCTTGGGTTAGGTTAGGTAGGGTTCAAAATTCATTAACGAATCGATGTGAATTGTGTACAAATGACGTCGTACATAGGATGATTGGCCAACGAATTTTAAAACTTACGTAACTGAACCTAACCTAACTTGACCCAAATCGGCCTGTCCTAACCCAACCGAGCCCAATACAGCCTAACCTAATTAGCTAATAAATCCTAGCCTAACTATAAATTTACGGTTTTAGCAAACAGAAAACGAGTTTCGGCGATTGTACGAAATGACCATATCGCCTCATAACACAATCCACGACAAACACAACATAACCCCACATCAAAAACAACCCCCCCCCAACATAACCCCACGTCAAACACAACCCCCCCCAACATAAACCCTACATCAAACACAACCCCCCCCCCCCAACAAATACAATATATACAATTACCTCGTCAGAAGCCAAATACACGCACAGGTTGGCCACCTCCTCTGGGTACGCTAGGCGACCAATCATAATATCCTGTATGTAATCAATGTGATCCTGGAACATAGAAAATGGTCTGAGGTCTGGAACATAGAAAATGGTCCGAGGTCTGGAACACAGAAAATGGTCCGAGGTCTGGAACACAGAAAATGGTGCTAGGTCTGGAACACAGAAAATGGTCCGAGGTCTGGAATACAGAAAATGGTCTGAAGTTCCGAAAACAGAATAGTCCGAGATCTTTGACATAAAGAAATAAATGACCTGAGGTCTGGAACACACAAAATGACCTATGGTCTGGAATATGGCGCTGGAATATTATTCATATATTTTTAAATTTTTGGAATATTTTTCAATTTTGCTAGAAATTACCTACTTAAATTTATCTGTTAGATTAAGGACCTTCCCGAAACTCTATGCGTTAGTGGCTTGACAAAAATGTAAAAACATCAATCCTTTGTACTCTTATAAACCCCAATGTATCTTTTTGTATATAAATAAATAATAAATAAATAAATAAATAGCGAGTACCAAGTGAGGGTCTGAAAGATGTGTGTTATGCTATACTATTACATAACTTGCTCAGCTAAATGAATTTTAAGGTTCAGTCTCTGAGCCCATTATATGTGCCTCTGTAACTCTGTAACAAAGTACGGGAGACGTCTCCTGTCAAGCAGGGTGCAGTCGCACCTCCACAGATCTCCAGTATCAGCTAATGATACTGGTTATGGCTCAAAAGGGCCACCACTTACGGGCTATTCATGCCCGTGCCACCCTTTGGGTGGCTTAATCTTCATCAATCAATCAAATCTATAACTGTAAAGTAAAAAAAAAGGTGTCCAGCAGCTGGACACCATCATAAAGACTGTCAAGCAGTATCGCGATAACAGCTTGACGATTAAATGCAACCTCAGAATACTGAAAAAAAACTTGTACCACTTACGGGCTATTCATGCCCGTGCCACCTCTTGGGTGGCTTAATCTTTATCAATCAATCAATCAACTCTTCCCACTGCCGCCCACTGGCTGGGTATGGCTTGCTGAATAAGTAAAGTATACTAACACCCTTAAACGTTCTTCAGTCATGGATGTATACTTGGAATTGTATAAGTACATGTTCTGTCAAAGGCCGGGTTGAGAGAAATCATGTACAGTACATGGCTTATAATGCAGGAGTTAATGGTGTATAACCTGTGATTCTATAGCTTACTGGGTCTATAATACGGTCTGTAATTCTCGAGCTTCCTGAGGACATGTGTCCCTGTACCAACTACATAGAAAGCGGTCACAAGCGTTCATATGTATAGTTTCATGCTGGAAACTATATGAGGTAATACATATATGTATTGCGATCTTGGTAATGCAACCAAGATTGAAACCTTTTGTTGAATTGTCTGAATGTCTACTGCAAATTGTCTATATACCTAGCATAAAAGTATTTGTGTGTACGTCTGGTAACATACTACATGTGTAAAGGAAGAAATGTATATGTTTATCACTCAGAATGTTCGGTAATATGTTTATTGCTTGTGATGTGTGTCTATATATGTATGAACACGTTGTACTGAACGGGGTGAGAATAGCTTGAGCTACCTCATCCCTTTGTGTGCATTTTACCCCAATAAACTCACTTCAATTTCAATACAATAGTTACAAGACTCGCAAGCTGGGTGATATAATCAAATAAATGCATAATATACTGTAAGAAAGGCCACTTAGCACTGTAAGATCACGTGATCCAGCCCTGAAGTATCACTCGATCTACTGCTGTAAGATCACTCGATCTACCACTGTAAGATCACTCGATCTACCACTGTAAGATCACTCGATCTACCGCTGCAAGATCACTCGATCTACCGCTGCAAGATCACTCGATCTACCACTGTAAGATCACTCGATCTACCACTGTAAGATCACTCGATCTACCGGTGTTTTGATTGGAAAAATAACTTTAATATTAAATCGTGAATAAACATTACCTTGTCCGAGTCGTTCAAGTCATGGGATCTCTCGGTGAAACTTGGAGTGGCCACGGGAGAAGGGCAGATAACATTGCATCTGCAACACATCAGTAGCACCTGTTATCGTATATTGGTGATATATATTTTTTTTTGAGATATATACAAGAGTTGTTACATTCTTGTACAGCCACTTGGAAATAGTGCTCGCTGTAACTTGGTGGCATTACGGCCAATTTTTGTGACATCATTATTTGTGGACATGGCAATGTTTTCATATGTTTTACAAGAGGTCATTGAAAAACAGGAATATAGAAGTATCAGACTCTGTTAAATCTATATATGTACGGACATCACAAAACATCCACTAGATTAGTAGTTCTGAACTTCTTTTTTTTTGAGCCACGGACCCCCTTTGAAAATCTGGCGAAATCTGGTGAAAAATAACTTAATAAAAATAGTGCATATAATTGTTAAATATTTAACTGACTTCACGGACCCCTCCCCCCTGAATCTTGTCCATGGACCCCCCTAATTTGGGGGTTCGTGGACCTCCAGGTTAATAACCCTTGCACTAGACAGTGTGGCCCTGTAGCTACCAGAATTAGGCTTGGAAATCGATTTCCATGGCAGGTGGCTACAAATCAATGGTAAACAAGTGAAAATAACTAGAATAAATAATTGAGGCTAACTGAATCTATAATTTTAAAGCAAACTGAAAGATACCAATGTGGAAAGGTGGGGCCCAGGAGCTAAAGATCGGTCCTAGAAACTGTGGAATGAGGATGGGAATTATCAGAAGAAAGCGTCAAGCCATAGAACTTGGAAGGGATCAGGATAAGAATTTGGGATGGGACGGGGAGAGAAAAGAATGGTGCCCAACCACTTGTGGACGCGGTCGGGGATTGAACGCCAACCTGCATGAAGCGAGACCGTCGCTCTACCGTCCAGCCCAAGTGGCTGGGCAAGAGAAACTGTGTAAGTGGTAACGGTAGGATGAAGCGGCTGACCTGACGCCCTGGCGGACATGGTCTCTAGCCACGGCCTTTGTGAGTCCGATGACTGCAGCCTTGGTGGCGCCGTACACACAACGGCTCTGTATTCCCCTCAGAGTGCTGGCCACTGACGACATGTTGATGATGGACCCTCCACCCTTCTCGATCATCTGCACCACAAATATTTTATAAAAATAATAATAATAATAATACAGAAAATACTTATTTAGAGGTTCGTTCGAAATAGTCACAATTATGCAACTTGTTTGGGCAGTAGGCTAGCAACTATGACATACAATGCAGTAGGCTAGCAACTATGACATACAATGCAGTAGGCTAGCAACTATGACATACAATGCAGTAGGCTAGCAACTAAGACATACAATGCAGCAGGCTAGCAACTATGACATACAATGCAGTAGGCTAGCAACTATGACATACAATGCAGTAGGCTAGCAACTATGACATACAATGCAGTAGGCTAGCAACTATGACATACAATGCAGTAGGCTAGCAACTATGACATACAACGCAGCAGGCTAGCAACTAAGCCACTTCAAAAAATCATCATCATGTTAATGAATGAATAACAGCTGTGTCAGGTAACAAATTTCATGTACACCCGCTATAGAAAACTGAACAAACAAACGCAGTTATATCTTCCAACGACCAAAGAAACTTACACAAGAGGTATAAAAAAAATTACAGTGCGTAAGTTCACAAATAATTAAACAGCAGTAAATAATAGTATTAACTCCGATCACAATCCTGTGTTCACCTAAGTGTAGTCACATAGTTGTGCTTCGGCTCTGCAGTCCCGCCTCTCATCCGTCAATCAACTAGTTCCTGAACCTGTTGGTCTCTATGCGGTAAGTAGATGCTGAGAACTGACCCTACTCAGCAGATCTTACAAGATATTTGATTCTTGCTGGTAAGATTTGATCATTTGATCATTGCTGAAGTTCATAGTTCACTTCATATATTATGCACCTTATACCTATCCTATGAGAAGTGGTGAAGTGGTTACAAAGGTACATAATGGGCACAGGAACTGACCTTCAGAGTTAATTTAGCCAAGCAAATTACGTCATCGATGAACAGTGTTGGGAGAGAAAATCTGCATATTATGCTGTCTGTGCTCCCACTCAAGGGCTTATATTTATTGCATTCCTTACACCTGAATTAACAATGAAGGACTACCTTTTGCACGGCCAAACACGGTAACCACTTTGTTAATAGACTTATGACTCGAGAATAGTGGTAATGAGATGCACCAGAATTTACACACTTTGTTGTGAGACACAACAATGACATATAGAGATAAAATCAAGATCACATAAATATTAAGGTCACCAAAATGCTATACAAAAAATATTAAATGGAACAAGTAGACATAAACTCATCCAGCTTGCATTATAATATTTGTGAAGTTACTGTCGTCTGGTGGAAATAACTGGTAGTCAAAATTAAGACGACATAACTGTCAAACTAGATTTCTATATAAGAACCTGAGGACCTGGTCTCTTAATCCCTTGGGTATTAACCTGAGGGATTAAGGGCTTTTAAAGCAGTACCATCCTAGGGGACGATGGTCTGGATACAATAGTACCAACATGGGAGAAGGAAGGCCTGGATAATGTAGTTACCAACCTGGGGGAGGAAGGCCTGGATAAAGTGGAACATACTCTTGACGTTGACATCAAAGCTATAGTCCCACCTCTCCTCCGTGGTCTCCAGAATGTTACCCTGGTGAACGTACCTGGTGAAGTCAACAGAGAAGGATAGAGTGTCACCGGGAGAAAAGTAAGGATCCCAGCTGTCATCTGCCACTTGTAACTCAGTCTGCAATCCCATAGGGTCGACCCGGAGGTGCCCGGGACGTCCCCCCGAAAGGTTGCTTCATTTAAGTATTGGAAGCCGTCGTTCTTGTAGACATATTATTAAATATGATCGAAATGGTTAGATCAATGACTATCGGGAATCTTCCCACTATATTTCTTAGTTCACTAAACTCACGCACCTTTAAATGACTTACCCGGCGCAGTTGAAGAGGACGTCGATGTCGGTGAAGCTCTGAGCGAGGGCTCGAATCCCGTCCCCGTCCCTTACGTCCAGCACCCGGCACTCCACACCTGGCGAGACAACACCGTCACACTCTAGCCCCGTCACACACACACTAGCACTTCCGTACCCTAGCACCGTCACGCCCTAGGTTCGTAACCCCCTCGCACTGTCACACCGTAACAACGTCTTACGCTACGACCACCACACCCTAGCACCGTGCAGTAGGATGATTAGCAGATTGCTTGGATGTGCCTGTAGGGTTTTCTGCAAGCATTTTGGAAATGTGTACAAGGTATGTACATTGTAGTTAAGGTACAGACCTCAGACGAGGTACAGACCTCGACGTAGCCTCAGGAACGAGCATAGGCGTATATCATTGGACCTTTTCTAGTTTTGTTTTTGAACAACCCGCGAGGATAGAGGGCTAGTACCCGCGAGGATAGAGGGCCAGTACCCGCGAGGATAGAGGGCCAGTACCCGCGAGGATAGAGGGCCAGTACCCGCGAGGATAGAGGGCCAGTACCCGCGAGGATAGAGGGCCAGTACCCGCGAGGATAGAGGACCAGTACCCGCGAGGATAGAGGGCCAGTACCCGCGAGGATAGAGGGCCAGTACCCGCGAGGATAGAGGACCAGTACCCGTGAGGATAGAGGGCCAGTACCCGCGAGGATAGAGGGCCAGTACCCGCGAGGATAGAGGACCAGTACCCGCGAGGATAGAGGGCCAGTACCCGCGAGGATAGAGGGCCAGTACCCGCGAGGATAGAGGGCCAGTACCCGTGAGGATAGAGGACCAGTACCCGCGAGGATAGAGCACCAGCACCCATGAGGATAGAGGGCCAGTACCCGCGAGGATAGAGGACCAGTACCCGCGAGGATAGAGGACCAGTACCCGCGAGGATAGAGGACCAGTACCCGCGAGGATAGAGGACCAGTACCCGCGAGGATAGAGCACCAGCACCCATGAGGATAGAGGGCCAGTACCCGCGAGGATAGAGGACCAGTACCCGCGAGGATAGAGGACCAGTACCCGCGAGGATAGAGGACCAGTACCCGCGAGGATAGAGGACCAGTACCCGCGAGGATAGAGGACCAGTACCCGCGAGGATAGAGCACCAGTACCCATGAGGATAGAGGGCCAGTACCCGCGAGGATAGAGGGGCCAATACTTACGGGGATATAAGGCCTGTACTCACCAAGATATAACGCCAGTACTCACCAGGATATGGGATATACAGTTAGTAATCACCAGGATATAAAACCAGTACCCACAACGATACAAGGTCAGTACCCACCTGACTTCGATGACAGCTCCTGCAGCTTCTCGCCATTGATGTCGATAGCGACCACAAGCGAGGCTCCCTCTCTCAGGAAGGCTTCCAACGTTGCCCTTCCAATTCCTGCCGGCCAGATATATATATATTAAAATACCTCCACAAGTACACTCTTGCCACACACCTGCTGATCATACACATTCACTTGTCTGTTCCACTTAATGAAATACAAACTTGTGTTGTTGTTGTTGTGTTGTATCGTCATTAATAGACGCGTGCCTTTGAAGGGCTGGTTATGTATGACCTTGGTTGTATATGTGTCCTGAATAACTCATACAGAAATACATGGGAATGTGGTTACAGTAAGGCTTTGTGCTTTGGTTTATTCGAATTCTTGGATCATCAAATTAATACTGGTTTCTCGATTGGTTTCTATGGGTTCAATTTCAGCCGTTTAAGAAGTGTTTGGGGGGTAGAAATAGCCTAAGCTACTCTAACCCTTTGAGATGTATTTCTTTCTTGTCTCAATAAACATACTTGAACTTGAAGAAGTGTTTGAGGTCGGGATTTTGGCAATTTTTACTTTCAGAGTTCTGAAGATATAGATCAATAACCATTCGGACATTCTAGGAAACATGTGTAAGTCACTGCCTACGCCACAATGCCCTTCATAGAACCTTTGAAATGCAATCACTGATTACTTCGCACGACAATTAATGTGGGTTAGACTTTACCCTGAGCCGCGGCAGTCAACACAATCTTTTTCCCGGCAAGTCTGCCATTTCTCCCTCCTGGGGCAGTAGTAGCAGCAGCGGCAGCAGCCATGGTGTGTGTGTGTGTGTGGGTGCCCAGAAGGAGGAAGACTGAATACCCCGGGTACAGGGAAGTCCATACCCCCCAACCCAGCCGAACCTCAATATAATGTTATCTATCTTCACACGCTGATAATTTAAACACCGTTTGAAATATATATTTATATATATTCCCTCGTGAAATAACAAACATGTATCAACTTTGTTACATATATATATATCCACTGCTGCTGCTGTGTTCAATAGCGGCATTGTTCAGCAATTATAAGGGAACCGCTTATTATAATTTTAGAAACATTATTCATCTGGCGCTCGTGCACTCGGCTTCTTATTTCTTGTACATTTTTTGACAAGTTATCGTTTTATTGAGCGGTAACATACCATATGTGCGGTACGTGTGTGTGAAGCAACAGGTGCTCTGGGGCTTATCTGGCCGGCCTCACACGACTGCAGCTGATGCTGGTCTCTGTCTGTCTGTCTGTCTTTGTCTCTGTGTTTCTTTCTGTCTGTGTCTCTCTGGCTTTTCATGCTAATGCACTGTATACATTCATTATATTCTCTCATTCAAGTACTGGGTGAGGTTCGACCACTTTTGCATGCAGGGACCCTAAACACGGGCTCTCTGGCCCGGGAAACTTTCTTCTAAACTTTCCAAGTCTACTTGTGTTAAGATAATATTATCCTGCAGGTTTAATAGTTTTTAATAGAAACAAAATATAACTAAGTTTGTGAAATTTTCACTCGATATAATAAACTTTCCTTATTAAGACTACTCTATAGCTCTGTCGATAGAGCTTCTGCCTCACACACACACGTGGGGGTTCCATGGTTCGAGTCTTCCAGAGCCCAGGTAAATGGAATGTTTAATTCTACGGTAAAGTGGATGGCAATATTTATAGGTTTTGCCTCTGGCCAGTACCAGAGTACCGGCAGAACACACGCGCCCAGACAGGTGGGATTCAGGAACCTGTACACCTGTTGATTGACGATTGAGAGGCGGGACCAAAGAGCCAGAGCTCAACCCCCGCAAGCACAATTAGGTAAGTACAGGTGTCTAGCACTTGTGATCTTTCTTTTCAAGCTAATAACGACTATTTTCTGAACACACGCAACACTGGATATACACTGGCTGGCAGTCTTCAACCCGTCCTCGACTCATGTCCATTCCATCCAGTGGTCGACCCCACAGACGCATTCATAAATTTTAACATGCTGTTCATTCAAAACGGGAATTTTCTCAAGTATAAATTAATATTATAATATATTGGCATATTGTGCATATATAGGCATAGGTTAGGTTAGGTGTTTAGGTTCTGTTGGCGATTATTTGTATTTGTAGTACGTGGGTGAAGCATTTATAGCGTTGTGATTCGAACAAAATTCGTCAGTGAAACACTTGTTCCGGATATGTTCGAACGTCAGCAGTTGTGAGTCGTGTGTAAACCGCTTTTCATTCATAAACAGGGGGTTTGGCGGGTGCATGGAATCACTTTTGGATCTTTGTTTGGAGGATGGGCTGTTTACGGAGTTGTGTTTCGAACAAAATTCGTCAGTGAAGCACTTGTTCCGGAAGTGTTCGAACGAAATCAGTTGTGAGTCGTGTGTAAACCGTTTTTCATTCATAAACAGGGGGTTTAGCGGGTGCATGGAATCATTTTTGGACCTCTGTTCGAATCACAACTCCGTAAATGCTTCACCCACGTACTTCACATACAAATAATCGCCAACAGGACCTAAACACCTAACTATACATAAAGCTTTAATATATAATAATAATTTATACACGAAGACAAACTTATTTTTAATGCACAACACGTACAAACTGATTAATGCGTCTTGAGAGACGGCCGCTGCTTTAACCTGAAGTTGATTTTGATAACAAACAAGAGGATTTTGATATCACTCAAGATGAGCGAGTTTAATCTGAGGTAACATATGTTATTTTCTTGAAATTCGTACCAAGGAGATAGATAGCATGACCCTCCCTAGCATCCTGGGGTGGGCCAGTTTTACATTTTATCCCCTGACAAAATGAATTATACATCTCCCGTCTGTGGAACAAATATTCCAACATATATATGTTGAATAAACTCCATCTCGTTGAATAATGAACAATCTTACCTAGTAGAATAGACCTCACAGTAGCAAAGGTTACGACACTTAATCAGTACAAATAAAATATAATTCTCATCAGATTACATGGTTTAATAAGATTCAGTTATCTAAAATAATCGCCTGGCTCCACGTTTATAAGCATTTGTCATTCTACCGAATGCCAGGCTCTAACATGGCCGGCTTTAGAATGTGCATCACCTAAATGATCTCCCAACATCTACTTCTTTCTCTGCTATCTGACAACTAGCACATTACTTGTCAAACACAGATACCTAAGCATAAGTTTGAAGCAGACAGGCAGTCCGTAAGATGGACGGAGGGTCCGTACATATAGGTTTAATAACGCGACCATCTACGACGTCTCCGTGTTTCCGCCAACCGTTCCAATGTTATTGAGATTCAAGATATTTTATCAATCATCCTTATAACAGTTTGTAGGATTCTGTACTGGATTCCGGCATTTAACACTGATTTCTAATAATTGTTTTTAGTTATAGAATGTACTTAAAAATATAATTTTGACAATGCTCTTCCTTGATTTTAGAAGGAACCTAGCTCTTACAAGGATAATACGCCTCGTACGCGCAGGCGCACACAAGCTGCACCTTGGCGGGACTTTCAAATGCTTTCATCGCAGTTTGTGCACGTGATTTCAATCTAACAGACACTCATGCAACAAGCAAAGTCTATGCCATGTCAACAAAAATGTATCTAAATAAACTTTTATATTATAAATCTCTCCACGAAGTCAATGCTCTGTGAACGAAATATATGTAAATAAATCACTACCTTACAATGTGTGTTCTTTAATTAATAGCTTTATACAGGTAATATTTAATTTGCTATATATAATTTTGTCTTAAGAGTTTATAAGTTGGTGTCCCAGCCGATATTTAATTTAAAGATTGAGATGCAATAATTTACCAGTATTAATTCTGGAATGTTAACTTTTTTACAAATATAAATTTAAGTGAAAAATCAAGATTGAACATGAGATACTCTGTGACAGGATGAACAACCCAGCGGGTTTTCTTTCTATTGGGGAGTGTTGTACATGCTGCTATGGCGGTATGTCCACTCACAGGATGAGTGGCGCTGCCCAATAAACTCGCCCCTTGGGGCAAAGTTTAAATTTAAATGAGATACTCACGTTTGTGCTGGTGGTCGCTTTGATTACACGTTAGTGGTGTTGTTGGTCGCTTTGATTACACATTAGTGGTGTTGTTGGTCGCTTTGATTACACATTAGTGGTGTTGTTGGTCGCTTTGATTACACATTAGTGGTGTTGTTGGTCGCTTTGATTACACATTAGTGGTGTTGTTGGTCGCTTTGATTACACATTAGTGGTGTTGTTGGTCGCTTTGATTACACATTAGTAGTGTTGTTGGTCGCTTTGATTACACATTAGTGGTGTTGTTGGTCGCTTTGATTACACATTAGTGGTGTTGTTGGTCGCTTTGATTACACATTAGTAGTGTTGTTGGTCGCTTTGATTACACATTAGTGGTGTTGTTGGTCGCTTTGATTACACGTTAGTGGTGTTGTTGGTCGCTTTGATTACACGTTAGTGGTGTTGTTGGTCGCTTTGATTACACATTAGTGGTGTTGTTGGTCGCTTTGATTACACATTAGTGGTGTTGTTGGTCGCTTTGATTACACGTTAGTGGTGTTGTTGGTCGCTTTGATTACACATTAGTGGTGTTGTTGGTCGCTTTGATTACACATTAGTGACGTCAGTCATCGTATGTGTTGCAACATGAAGATAATTGCAAATGAATATTCATCATACAGAATGATTTATAACAATATACGTACCACAAGAGCATTTGACAAATTTTCTGACTGGAAATCGGCTTTGAACATTTGAGTTAATGCTGATGTGAACATTTCCGCCCGTTTCAAATAATATAGCAAAATATGGCTTCAATCTTTATGCACAGAAATCATAAAAGAACATTACAAATATTATAGTACAGCACAAATATTACTAAAATCAGCAGTGCGGTATATTTTAAGATATGTTTTCAATTTTAAACAAAGAATTAGTTTATAGTAGCAGCAAAGTCCAATACGGGCTCGCCATAGCCTGCGCTATCTAGAACTTTTTGTTCCGGGTAGCTTAATCTATAACAACATTATAGAAGCTACGTAAGACGCTAATCACATACGATGCCATCAGTCAAGATGAAATAAGGCATGAACAAAATTTAAATTCATAGTGGTAGCGATTGACTCTATACTAAACGGTAAAAAATAAATCGCTGAACTTAAATACACATATTAAGACACATTCTTTAATCATAAGAAAAGTTATCAATACAATCCCTTGGATCTAGGGGTACACGCAAGACGTGATTACCACTGTATTTATTTGGTGGTTTATATTGAAAGAGTTACTTATTTTGCTCAGGTAAATATTAGTGGGTTTGGTGTTGGGCTTAATGCCTATCGATCTTCGGAGAGCAATTAGGCTTCCACAAGTGCTTACTGACCAGTTAGCATATATAATCCAGCGCTTAAGTAAACGCAATATATATATATATATACTCTAAGAAGTGGAGCACACCCTTTCGCTGAATATATATAGAATATATATATTCCTTGTAAATATTCAGACTATATTTGGGATCAAAGAAAGTCCTACTTTCTTGAATCTACCGACGTTAACTAGGAGGGGGGACTTTGAAGGTACGAGATTTTGATATGGCCAACATCTTGAGCTCTTCCTCATGGATAACTATCTGGTGGTTGTGGGCGCGGCGGGATCTTAGATAATCCCACAGACGCTTGTAGACTCTCCCACAGGCTGGGTTCACTGCCCCGTCCACCTCATCAGGGCCCGACGGACCTGAGATTATCCACAAATTCATCAGTTATTAATCAAAACAATGCAAAATAACATTTTATAAATATTTAAAACTCTATTATCTTTTTCAATGCACATCGATTAAACTAAATTAAACTATATACATAAATTAAAATCTAGTCTGTGATAAATTAAATTTTCATTACTGATTATTTTTAATGAGACATTGCTTAATTGGGCGGAAATACGTATTAACTGTATCTTACTCAGCAGTAAACAAAGCCACAAATCTGACCACACGCATCCTTACTTACAAGAGTACTCACCAGGACACAAAGACACGAGGCTGCGGTCCACAACCGTTCTTACTCACCAGTACACAAAAACACGAGGCTGCGGAGCACAACCGTTCTTACTCACCAGTACACAAAGACACGAGGCTGCGGACCACAACCGTTCTTACTCACCAGTACACAAAAACCCGAGGCTGAAACCAAAACCATTCTTACTCACCAGTACACAAAGACACGAGGCTGAAACCAAAATCATTCTTACTCACCAGTACACAAAGACACAAAGGTGCTAACCAAAAGCGTCACAGCGATGCTTACAACACCAGTAAAACAATATGAAATCTCGTAGATGGTCTTGCTTGATGACCTGTGGAAAATATTAACATATATGTAATCAACAATACACATATAAAAACCACTACAAGAACTACTTATATACAACTGATACGACGAAAAAAATGATTACTGAACGACATAATAGAAACGTCCTTCTATCAACTTTATACATAATAAATATATATATATATATATATATATATATATATATATATATATATATATATATATATATATATATATATATATATATATATATATATATATGTATATGAGAGAGAATGTCAGTTTATTCATTTGTTTGTTCTGGTCAAAGTTGTAGGCCCGACGCTAGCCTCATCCAACTTTGTAGGGGAAATGGTTTCGGGGATGGGATGGTGTGTAAAGAAACTTCGTAGCACCACGCATAGTGCTTACCTTTCGACCAGTGTTGTGTTAGCTAAGAAAGCGTCAGCAACTGCATTTTTAGCCATCAGAGTGTCAGTGAGAGTGGTGTTGGCGAGGAAGGTGGTGACGGTGGTGTTGGCGAGGTGCTGAAGACCCTCCTGGCAGCCCTCGGTGGACAGGGGCAGGAGAGGCGGCGACCCTCCGCCCCTCACAAACTTCCCGATAACCACCCACACACTGAGAAGAAAGGAAAGGACCAGTCCCACGATAGCACCCTATGAAGACAAGAAAAAAACATATACTTTTGGTCAGTAACAACAGTCATGTTGTATAAGGGTATGCTCTCTGAAACCTATTACGATCAACTAGGAAAATATCACACACATTCTGTTGGGCAAGATGAAAATAATACAAAGAGTAGACTGTACAATTCTCACCTTCGCGTTAACCCAGGGTGCACAGATTCCAGCTATATAGATGCCGTTCATAGGCCCCGCGACAGCAGAAATAATGGCGCTTGCGACGTGGTAGATGCTGCCCAGTTTCCCCACCGCGAGGCCCATGCATATGGCTGCTACTCCAGATGCTGCAGCTGAATTCGTAAATATACATATATATAGTAAATACACTGTGCCACTAAATGGGACTCTCACACAGTCACAGCACTCCAGCCACCACTTTACAAAGCCTACTAGCAATTCAGCTGGGATGGCCCCATTTTAGACGGAGCAGCTGCAATATGCCTAGCTGCATCTGCATACAATTTTACTCCCCTCACAGCAGTAGCAGCTCCCCATGCGGGTTCCTTTCTATTAGATGGTTCCAGCCCGCCATATCAGGAACTTGACAGCCTGTAACAATAACTTTGTACTTTGTGCGTGTAACTAAATTTGTAATCATTTTGTGTAATAATGTTTATATCTGTAATTTTTTTATTTTATTTAAAGGGGTGGCAGAAGACAATATGTGTGAGCGCACTTTGGGGCCTGACAAGGCTTCCTCGGGTGCTACATATTCTCTTCTTCGAGGCTGAGGGTCCCTACAAATACAACCAGTATGTATATAAAACTATACCGGTATTATATAATTACATAATAATTTCAGCTTAAGAAATTAATTTTTTTTTTATTACCCACAAATTTGAACATTTTAAGAATTCTTTTTTTGCGGATGACAGCGGCTTGGACGAGCATATCCTTCGAACGAGTTTTTATATGTATCAAATAGGTAGTCTTTATTGACTTTAAAATAAAGCATCGAGGAGCCAGTACTTACACAAGAACTTGACGACGTTGGTGGCCTTGGCATCACTGAGGCGCCGGAAGTAGGGACGATCCTTCAGGAAGTCCTCCCAGATTATACACGCGAAGGAGTTCCCGCACGACGACAGTGTACTGGTGGAGGAGGAAGATGTTCAACATGTATAACAGTGTACCCAATATCTGTGAAATTGGGTGCATGATGATGAAATATCTGTGCCCAATAATGTCACCACGAGTGCTGTCGGGTGTTGGGTGTATGTGAGGGTCTAAGCGAGACTGCCCTGGCCGAGTGGTTATAGCGCTGGCCTGCCTGGGTTCGAATCCTTCAGGGGTCAAGAGTTTTCGGATGTGTGTGTGTATATATATATATATATATATATATATATATATACACATATATATTCTCCAAGTACTCCACAAAAAAGGAAAGGAGCTTTTTCTCCATTGTGGTTGAGTAAGACTGTGAAACCTAGTCTAAAAAGGACGAAGCCTCGGCCATCAACTTTAGTATTTATGGTGAAGGATGCTAGTGTTTACCACCAGTTCGCTCTCATAAAATTCTGATTTGACATATTGAGAGGAAGACGTAGCAGAACCTACCTGGGGACCTTCGGTGAAGACCTACCTTAGGACACCGCCGTAGACGGCAGCGACAAAGATACCAGACATCCCCGTCAGGTGACTCAGCTTGTCGGTCACCAAGAACGGGACGATCTGGTCGGGTTTCTCTATCTTGCCAGCGGTGAGTGGATCACAGTCGCTGTAGGTGGCGAAGGCGACGAGACCAGAGAAGTAGAAAACTATCCACAGCAGGTACAACCCCACCAGGAAGAACACCACCAATCTGCACAAGAAGTAAATCTCGTCACAATCTAGCATAAATACTCTGAAAACCTTTTGAATATTAAACAATAAGTTTTTTTTCTCCCAGTTAACCAAAACTTCGGTGGAGGACCAGTGCTTTGCGATGATAATATTGAACTCGATCTTTCGTGACTGGACGGTTGCAAGTTGGGGTTTAATGCCCGATCATCCAAGTGCTTGGGCGCCATTCCTTCCCTCCGTCCCATCTTAAATCCTTATCAAGATATTCTTTTTGAGTGCTATATAATCATACTGATTTAGCGCTTTCTTATGTTAATTACCTTAACTTACCGATCTTTCGTGAGGTATATGAGTGTCCACGACAAATATTTACGCTACTAACCAATCATTTTTTTTTCCAAAACTTGATTAGCCGTTTAACAATAATCATTTCTCCTATGGTGTTTATTCAACATTGCGCCAAATATTTAGATATAATAATCAAGATATAATGTTCAACAGAGTTAAACAAAAGAAGAACAATAAGAGCAAATATCAGGTACTGGAAGGCTGTTCACATATCTTTGTGCTGTTCGCAGGGTCCGGACGGAGGCGAATCTCTGGTACACGCTCTGGTTGAAGCCAACGTCGCCCAGCATAAGGTAGAAGCCAAACACTACAGTGGAGAGGAACGTGTGGCGCTCATACGGGCTGGTGTTCAGACTGGAAACGATAGGATTGTATAACCATGTTGACTACTGTGTTTTCGTAAAGATGTTAGTTTTCATACTGAATTATATTTACCAATGCATCGTATGTAATTCACACTATCGCGAATATAAACATTTGATTCCCCTTGACGCAGGAGGGGGTTCAAACCCTTGTCGTTTTTATGACAAGCGGACGTTCAAATGGTATGACCAGAGGGCTAACAATGAAGTTTACAAAACGCATGACATCAAATTTGTAAGAAAAACCCACGGTGAAATGGTAGAATTATCTTAGTACTTTCGCTCAGTACGTAATACATTCGCTCAGTACTTATTATTCTTTCTTATACAGTACTTAGTACTCATGCGTCAGAGACTGAGGCAAACGTGGTCGATCTAACACCAGATAGCCTAGCTCAAGGCGGCATATCTCATAATTCAATCCGCACCTCGATAATATTAACAAGGAGGAGGTTAAAGGAGCCATCGATACAAGTATGAGCTGTAGCACAAACATTTGTTAGAACACGGACATCTACTTACTTAGGTATCATCACAAACTTCCAAGAAAGTCACGTAACTGGCTGCTTTGAGACAGCGTCAACACAACGCATTATGGGAACTAAACAGCGGGAGAATTTAGGGAAATTTAGGGAATTTAGAAATATTTAGGGAATGCCAACATTTTTTCTAGTATCTGACAGTATTTAAATAAGAATTAGTATATAATTAAACACCAATATCGAATTCATAGTGTGTTCATACAGGGACTGAAAACGCCTTCATCATTCTCTAATTATTAAATGAGGCTTTTCCGCATATATTGATGATTTCAACATATATATAGTATCGATGAGTCTCAACGTTACTATAAGTACTACCTAAACAGAAGGATGGGCTGGTATAATAGTATACACCATTCATACACCGTTCATACAGTCATACAGACACATGAATACCGTCAACTCACTCGAAGAAACTAATTCGGCCGCCCTGCTCAGCGATGGTCCACACGTTGCCAACGCCACCCAGGTCAACACAACAGATGATCACCACCACCAACACCCCACCAAACATCAGCAGAGTCTGGAGTACATCTGTGTACACCACGGCTTTTACACCTCCCTGGGGGGATAAAGTTATAACATTAGCAGTGTCTGTAGGACACCAGGGTACACACGCCGGCTTTTACACCTCCCTAGGGGGATAAAGTTTGTAACATTAGCAGCGTCCGTAGCAAATCAGTACACCAGACATTGAATATATGGACAAGATTCGCTGCCCATATATATATACCATACGTCATCTGGAATAGGAAATGTATATGTTTATCTCTCAGAATGTTTGGTAATATGTTTGTTGTTTGTGATATGTGTATATGTATGTATTAACACGATGTACTGAACGGGGTGAGAATAGCTTGAGCTACCTCATCCCTTTGTGTGTATTTTACCTCAATAAACTTATTTAAATTTCAATTTCAATTTTATCTGGAATATCTTAGCAACTGTCCAAGAAGCAATGTATAAAGACCGACACCTCCTGCAACACGGTTAAGGAACTGCAAGAAATATGATGATCCGGAGAAAGCGCCAAGTCAATATGAGTATTGAGCACAAGGAAAGGAATACGAGAGCAGGACAGGAGCTGGGATATGAGGACGGTGGGAAGGAAAGGTGCCAAACCACTTTAATCATAGAGGATAGAACCCTGACCATGCAAAAAAGCGAGGTCTCTTTACACCACGATTTAACGAATCATCACTTGACGTGCTGAAGTAAACATTTCCCGCTGTCAGTCACGTTCTCTTGACTAGTGCAACTAGTGTTTCACGTGCTTGATGACATTGAAACCAGCCTTGTGTCCGTCATAAAGGTTGATGCTACTAACCAAATTAAGCCAAAGAGCAGCGTGCCCTTATGCCTTGAGTGCTGTTAGTCATATTGCAACCTGCAACCTTGACCAGCCGGTCTCCTCAGGATGTTTACAATCTGCCAGCTCCCTTAAACAATAACACATTGTAAAGCAACACACGTCCCGCCAAACACACACCGAAACTACGACGTTGGTACAACGTTCGAACAAGTTTAACACCTCCTAACCAGTTATAAAAACCAATATAGCAAGTTGTAACAACGTTCTAATACGTCATAAACACTTTAAGCCAAGATGTAACAACTTTATTACAAGTTGTATCAAGCGGAAAATAGAGGCAGTTACGGTTTGTGTTTCCAGGGGTACATCTCAACTTTTATTTTCGTCAGCATTCTTTGTTTTGAAAGATTTATTAAAGGTAATTATGAGGCGAAAGCGCTAAGCCTGCACGAATATATAGCACCTCTAAAGGATACGAGGATAATAAGCTTGGATAAGTTCACGTAAGTGGAGTACCCAGGGGCCCTATCCTGGGTCCTCTGTTATCTGTCATAATTATGTACGTCCTCAGTTCACCAGATATTTAACTATAAAATAAAAATATTCATTATATAAATGTTAAAATTTGTTCTGATAATTTGGTTAACATTAATTGTCAATTTAAAATGCCAATTTAGAAAGCTATTGTCTACTATGACACACAATCTTTTATGGTGAAGTCACACTCACAATTGTGATGTAGAAGGTGCATATCACACCCATGATGAGGGTGGAGGCCCAGGTGGCGAGGCCGGTGACAGTAGACAGGGCCAGAGTTGGTGCATACAGACACATGCCCATGTAGATCAGGTAAGTGAGGAGTATACATAACGCTGTAAGTGTCCGCAATAACCGAGACCTGAACCTCACCTGTATATACTGCAAGATGCACAAATTGCTATATTAAAGTAGGCGAAAACATGTTCTTCAGGGAGTATTAAATATATGTTATTCAGTTCTTACATAGTGAAATATAGCACTGAACAGTTCTTAGAAGGAAAGGTAGTTATGAGGAGAAAGCTTTAAGATTATACAACTATATATCACCAGGAAGGAAGATGAGGGAGAGTAAATGGGATAGGAAGGAGGGGGAAAGGATGGTGCGAATCCACTTGGATCATAGAGGGGGGGGGGATCAAACGATGATCCTGTATCATACACGACCTTTGCTGTAACGACGAGTCCAAGTGGATACCATTCTTGCTTCGAGAAAACAACTGACCTCGTTGATGGAGACGAGCTTCAGGCGGTCGAATGTGGGTAGAACGACTTGATGCACGAAGATACAGCCTGGGATGCACCCCAGCAAAGATGTGGCAATTTGGGTGCCGAAGAAATATATCTCAGTGGGGTTACCTGCGGGAGGCGCCGGTGTTAGTGGGCGCAGGGAATATATTAACACTCGTCATTATGGTTTCATAGCCAGTAGAACACTAAAGGAATGTTGCTTCCAAATTGCTAGGTTTCAATGTATCATAAAAATACAAATGCACTGTATTTTTCTCTTTCTTTCTTTCTTTCTATATTTATCGTTTTATATTTTCTTTTGTGCTTTATTGGATGAAATATGATTTAATTAGTAATAACGTCTTGCGAATAACATTTATAACACCTTCTATTTCCTCTTGTTGCCTGGAGGCCGCAGGGAAACCATAGATCTTATATTACTTTCCAGAGTAAATGTATATTTGTGTTAAATTACTTTTGGGTAAATTTGTTGCTTACTAACCTAAGATAGATATCGCAGATATCCATCCCCCGAGGAGAGAGAGCGCTACTGGCACGGGCGACATGGTCCTGCCCCCCAACAGGTACTCCTGCGTGGAGGCTTTCCCGCGGCTCCTGAGGGCGCTGACGACCCCGATGCCCATGGACGCCACCAGCATGAGGATGAAGAGTGTGTAGTCGACGGGCGTGAACTTCACCTCTGGCGCCTCGGGCTCTGCCATCGTTGGTACCTCCGTTCCTTCCATGGTTGGCGCCTCCGTTCCTTCCATCTCACGCAGAATTCTGAATACCAATATACTGACATGATACTAGTGTTTTAACAACAACAAAATCACAATTTTAAAAATAATTTTCAATCATTTTGATGAAATTTTCCTTCTGTGAGGTTTATGTCAATAGCGTTACGAAAAATATTAGCTGGAGAGTGAGGATAGCGTCAGTGAGCATTTTAATATCTTGAGTTACTGGAGTCTAAGACAGCTCATTTATGATTGTAGACTGACAGAGGCCATGCAATGGAAATTTTCGCAGTCAGCGCCGGAATGTTCGAACTGTAATGATCGCTACATGGAAAATACCTTACGAAACTTTAACCACTGTATTTGTGAGCATTTGGCTAATTTTTACCGTGCTAGGCTGCCTCCTCGGCCAGGCGCATCCTCTGCTATTAGAGACCACAGCGAGGATAAAGGGCCAGCCTTTCACTTACAGCGATCTCGCTGTTCTGTTTTCTAGTTCGTCTCGTCTGGAACTCAACATCTTGGAAAGTGTCTCAAGATTTAAGCTGAACGGCTCGGAGTCGTCGACTCACTTGTTTACACGTTAACTGTTGTCTTCTTTGAAGAACGTTGTTGAATTTTTCATTATTCTCTTCTTGTGTATATATATATCTGTCCTTTGTTTTGCATATAGTGTAGTTTTAAGGTTTTTAATTTTAACACAATGTAACGAACCAATAAGATTACCACTGAGATTTAACAACACAGACGTTATAAAATACACTGGAAATAGCGTTGTGCTGAAATCAACACACAGAAGTCATCAACACAGGAGTCATCAGCACACAGACGTCATCAACACAGAAGTCATCAACACAGACGTCATCAACACAGAAGTCATCAACACACAAACGTCATCAACACAGGAGTCATCAACACTGTTCCACCTCAGTAACTCTGAAATGAGTTACACTTAGCGGGCCAGCTAGAGGCTTAGGGCCCGCGCGCAGGAATATCCCTGAAAAAAAAACCTCCACTCTCACATACACGCAAAAGGGTAGCAGTTGTACTTACGTAACACTGAAACACAAGAGCAACACTGACTTGTTTCACCCCCGAATAACCCACAACATGCCTTTACCGGGTCTTACAGGTAGTTAGAGACACCAGTTGCTCGTTCCGCGGCCGGCGGGGTACTGGTGGCTGAGCGCCGCTTCACGGCTGTTCAAGGTTAAAGGGGATGCACGATAGTTCGGAGGTGAAGTACGATAGTTCGGAGGTGAAGCATAATAGTTCGGAGGTGATGCACGATAGTTTAGAGGTGATGTACGATAGTTCGTAGGTGATGTACGATAGTTTGGAGGTGATGTACGATAGTTTGAAGGTGATGCACGATAGTTCGGAGGTGATGCACGATAGTTTGGAGATGATGTACGATAGTTTGAAGGTGATGCACGATAGTTCGGAGGTGATGCACGATAGTTTAGAGGTGATGTACGATTGTTCGTAGGTAATGTACGATAGTTTGGAGGTGATGTACGATAGTTCGGAGGTGATGCACGATAGTTTAGAGGTGATGTACGATAGTTCGTAGGTGATGTACGATAGTTTGGAGATGATGTACGATAGTTTGAAGGTGATGCACGATAGTTCGGAGGTGATGCACGATAGTTTGGAGATGATGTACGATAGTTTGAAGGTGATGCACGATAGTTCGGAGGTGACGCACGATAGTTTGTTGTTGATGCAAAAACAGCGCTGCCACATACGCTCTCTCAACCAATATTGCGATAAGCCTCAAATCCACGTGACTCTATTCTGTAAAAAGAGGTCTACGAGCAGCCCCGGTCTCTTGATTTGCCACTCCGTCAAAAATGCAACCTCCTAACCTAACTAGGAACGTACTCACCCAAGCAACCCATGTAATGAGTCCGATGCATAGAAAACGGAGATATTTGTGTGTCATCATTTTTTTCTCAGTTGGGTGCATTTGTGAGTTGATTGCCATAACGTAAACAACTCCAGCTGTTAAACGAGGGGCCCTGGTTGGTGAGAGGGGGGGGTGGGGGGGGTGGGCCAATAACCTCATTAAGTCACAGACGCACACACACATATTTAAGGGGGGTCTGGTAGCTGAGTGGACAGCGCGCAGGGCTCGTAATTCTGTCGGCCCGGATTCGATTCCCGGACCAGGTAGAAACAAATGGGCAAATTTTCTTACATACTGATGCCCCCTGTTACCTAGCAGTAAATAGGTACCTGGAAGTTAGACAGCTGTTACGGAGCTGCTTTCTGTGTGTGTGCGTGTGTGGGAAAAAAAATTTAGTTAGTAGTTAGTAGCAGTTAAATGACAGTTGAGAGGCGGGCCGAAATAACAGAGCTGAACCCCCGCAAGCACAACTAGGTGAATACGCACACACACACATAAGTTCCCAAGTAAACAATCATAATACCCTATTCAGGGACACTTTCTGTTGTTATCTAAAGCATAATGAGCACATAGCCGCTCGCAAAACTCTAGAGAGAAAAGCTTAAAAGTTGAAGAATTTCAAAGCAGGCACTCTCTAAAAGCGCACGCCCGCGCACGCTCTCCTCTATTGCTACCCTCATGAGTACCAATGAGGATCCGGGCAGGGAACTCTGAACCTCCTCAGTCACTGCCACCAACACCTTCTAAACGCTTCCATTTCAAAGGCTTTAATCATCTCGTTATATTTGTGTTCATAAGTTTCTTTAAATTGCTTGATATATGCGTTGGATTTCATTTGATTGGCTTGTGTGGCGTCTGTGAAGTGGCTGTAGTTACGAAAGAGAGCTTGACAGATTTGTATTTGATATCTCCTTCACCAGGGGTGTTAAACTATATTATATATTTGATATATATCTTTATTGGCAACATTTACATATATATATGCCTAATCTAATAAGGTCAAATTTTTTGGCAGTGATAATCACTGGCTGACTTTAATCACTGTTATGTTATAGCCGAAAACGTGTTTAGCATTCTTTATTTTTCACTTTTTTTCGCATACTTGGATTAATGCTTTTGTGATCGTAGTATATTGCATCGCCGCTTGTTCTAAGCATTACGAGAACAAGATCTTTTCGAGAGCAGCTAAGACGGGGTGTTGAGGTTTTGGACGGTGGATATGCCCAACATCTTCAGCTCCTCCTCCTGGATGACAATCCGTTGCTCTTTGGCGCGACGGGACTTCAAGAAATCCCACAGACGCTGATAAGCTCGGCCGCAAGCTGGGTTCACCACCCCGTCCACCTCCTTAGGGCATGTCGGACCTAAAATCCACAAATTTGGTGTTTATTATTGGGAACAACCTTAAAGGCTAAGATTTCTTAACTGTACGAAACTCGTTGGTTGAATGCACTGAACGCTATGACAATAAATGGAAATGAGACTCCATTTGAGTTTAAAATTGATGGTAATTATGTTTTCACGAAATATTTTCTCTAACAGGGCGAAGATAAATACATGTAAAGCCTAATTTTCACGAAATATTTTCTCTAAGAGGGCGAAGATAAATACTTGTAAAGCCTAATTTTCACGAAATATTTTCTCTAAGAGGACGAAGATAAATACTTGTAAAGCCTAATTTTCACGAAATATTTTTCTCTGAGAGGGCGAAGATAAATACTTGTAAAGCCTAATTTTCACGAAATATTTTCTCTAAGAGGGCGAAGATAAATACTTGTAAAGCCTAACTTCCTCACCTGTAATAAGAGATACGAGGGTGCCGACTGCAATGGTCAACGCCATACCAATGACGCCGGAGTAACAGTAGGAGATCTCGTAGATTGTCTTGGCTGACGATCTGTGAAGAACATGAACATTCAGAGATTTCTTGTGAACACTGAAGCATGGATTTATTGATCATTAACGCTGTATTTTTAACTCTTTTTACCCCTCCCCTCACACTGTTTATTGAGTATTAACGTAGTATTTGTAGCTTTTTTCGTTTATTTTGCAATAATGCTGTATTTTTAACTTTTTTGTGTTTATTGATCATTAACGCTGTATTTTAACTCCTTTTCGTTTATTGCTCATTAACGCTGTATTTTTAACTTTTTTTTTCGTTTTCTGATCATTAACGCTGTATTTTTAACTTTTTTTTCGTTTATTGATAATTAACGCTGTATTTTTAACTTTTTTTTCAGTTTGATCACCATATGACTAATCTCAGCCCCCAAGGATCTCCGTGGTTTAGTGGTCAGCGTGTGTAAGAGGCAGTGCGATATTAAAGGGCAGTGTATTTACACCGTTTTGCAAGCCCTTACCCGGGGTGCATTTGTTTTATATTTTATCAAGTTCGGGTTTTAAGCAAAGCCTAACACTTGGACTTTAATATCATATTAAACAGCAAACTCGATTGGTCCCAGGAACGCAAATATATGCATGGAAATCGCCATACGCCACCTCAATACGCTACTCGTTCTTCAATAGCAACTTCAGCTCATATACAGAGGACTGGACTAGTGAAAGGTGTAATCATTAGCGTGCAATATGCAACTGAGGGGATCACGTACAAGCGCAACTCACAAACAAAATCATATTAAATTTCTAATAAAAGCATGAAATGTCCTCTATTCCTTCCTGTGATGAATGCCATTAAATAATATTTTTATTAAAATTTATGGAAAATGTGGAATCTCTTTAAAATATGTACAGAGTCAATGTTCTATGTATTACAATTTTGACATACTGTGTAGCAATTGGATGGAATATGAGGACGAGACAGGAAGAGGGGAAAGAATGGTGGCCAGTTACTTAGACGGTCGGGGATTGAACTCCGACCTGCAAGAAGAGAGGCCGTGGCGCTACCATCCAGTCGAAGTGCTAGCACGAAAGTGTATTTATATTTATAAACCAGCTCGAATTATCTACATTTCCAGATAAATTAATTATTACTAACACAGCTGAATAAAAAAATTAACCAAAGCTACTTGCCAAAAGTCGCTACGGACTGAAAGAAGAACAAAATCCTTATAAGTCAGTATCTTTAAGAAACTTAAGAAAGAATACTCTACATATAAGATACTGACCAATATATCATGCCTGTATAAGGTCCAAAACGTCAGGAAGCATAATAAGTACGACACATTCACTTCACATAACTAACACCAGCCCCTATTTCCAACTAGAGAATTTTAAAACATTGATTTTTGGACCCATGAATACAAGGACTGGAATGTATGAAGATCTTTTCGTGTTTCCTCACTAACTTTTACGGTTTCATACCATCCTCTTAACTAATACGTCTCATTATGTACGTTATGATCCCCCAACGTACAAATTACAAAGTACTATGAAAAGAAGCGACTCGCAAATATCCACTTTTTTGTTTTATCCATCAGTAAATTTGGTTAGGTGGGTTGCTTCGGTTCGTACGTGCCTGGTTTCGTCAGCCTTTTGTATTTTGTCAAGATGAAGACAAGTCAAGACTCAAGATATTCAAAAACAAATAGAAAACTGCATCTAACTCTTTTGGATATATTGTAGTGTCTTTATTATGAGCTCAGACGTACGATAGTTTGACAGTGCTCAAAGTTTTGCACTCCATCCCTACCCTTCGATGGAATGTGTGTCGTCTAGGAGAGCATCGCTCACTGAGCCGTTAGCCATCAGAGCGTCCGTGAGAGTGGTGTTGGCGAGGAAGGTGGTGACGGTGGTGTTGGCGAGGTACTGAAGACTCTCCTGGCAGCCCTCGATGGACAGGGGCAGGCGAGGCGGCGACCCTCCACCCCTCACAAACTTCCCAATAACCACCCATACACTGAACGTAAAGGATGCGACGAAACCCACAATGGCGCCCTGAAGTGGAAGAAAATTTGCCACACTAACCAACATCAACACATCACAACACCGAGTCTGAAACCTAATAAATTAACGTTAAAAAATAATTCAGTTTCTGTGACATGTCACCAAAAATACAATAATGGTCAATGTATACATCTTTACCTTGGCGTTCATCCAAGGTGCACAAATTCCCGATAAAAAGACGCCATGGAGAGGACCTGAGATGGCGGAGAGGATGCTGTTAGCGACGTGGAAGATACTGCCTAGCTTCTCTACCATGAGGCCCATGCAGATGGCTAACACACCGGATGCTGCAGCTAGAACATCATAAAACACAAACGTTAGTCAGCATTCTTTCCGTCAACGTCCGCATACAT